TCCCCAAGCCTAATCACCAAACCCGCCGCCCACTCCCCAAGCCTAATCACCAAACCCGCCGCCCACTCCCCAAGCCTAATCACCAAACCCGCCGCCCACTCCCCAAGCCTCATCACCAAACCCGCCGCCCACTCCCCAAGCCTAATCACCAAACCCGCCGCCCACTCCCCAAGCCTAATCACCAAACCCGCCGCCCACTCCCCAAGCCTAATCACCAAACCCGCCGCCCACTCCCCAAGCCTAATCACCAAACCCGCCGCCCACTCCCCAAGCCTAATCACCAAACCCGCCGCCCACTCCCCAAGCCTAATCACCAAACCCGCCGCCCACTCCCCAAGCCTAATCACCAAACCCGCCGCCCACTCCCCAAGCCTAATCACCAAACCCGCCGCCCACTCCCCAAGCCTAATCACCAAACCCGCCGCCCACTCCCCAAGCCTAATCACCAAACCCGCCGCCCACTCCCCAAGCCTAATCACCAAACCCGCCGCCCACTCCCCAAGCCTAATCACCAAACCCGCCGCCCACTCCCCAAGCCTAATCACCAAACCCGCCGCCCACTCCCCAAGCCTAATCACCAAACCCGCCGCCCACTCCCCAAGCCTAATCACCAAACCCGCCGCCCACTCCCCAAGCCTAATCACCAAACCCGCCGCCCACTCCCCAAGCCTAATCACCAAACCCGCCGCCCACTCCCCAAGCCTAATCACCAAACCCGCCGCCCACTCCCCAAGCCTAATCACCAAACCCGCCGCCCACTCCCCAAGCCTAATCACCAAACCCGCCGCCCACTCCCCAAGCCTCATCACCAAACCCGCCGCCCACTCCCCAAGCCTAATCACCAAACCCGCCGCCCACTCCCCAAGCCTAATCACCAAACCCGCCACCCACTCCCCAAGCCTAATCACCAAACCCGCCGCCCACTCCCCAAGCCTAATCACCAAACCCGCCGCCCACTCCCCAAGCCTAATCACCAAACCCGCCGCCCACTCCCCAAGCCTAATCACCAAACCCGCCGCCCACTCCCCAAGCCTAATCACCAAACCCGCCGCCCACTCCCCAAGCCTAATCACCAAACCCGCCGCCCACTCCCCAAGCCTAATCACCAAACCCGCCGCCCACTCCCCAAGCCTAATCACCAAACCCGCCGCCCACTCCCCAAGCCTAATCACCAAACCCGCCGCCCACTCCCCAAGCCTAATCACCAAACCCGCCGCCCACTCCCCAAGCCTAATCACCAAACCCGCCGCCCACTCCCCAAGCCTAATCACCAAACCCGCCGCCCACTCCCCAAGCCTAATCACCAAACCCGCCGCCCGCTCCCCAAGCCTAATCACCAAACCCGCCGCCCACTCCCCAAGCCTAATCACCAAACCCGCCGCCCGCTCCCCAAGCCTAATCACCAAACCCGCCGCCCACTCCCCAAGCCTAATCACCAAACCCGCCGCCCGCTCCCCAAGCCCCCGCCGCCCGCTCCCCAAGCCTGCCGCCCACCGCTCACCGAGTCGACTGTTGATAAAATCCACGAAGACGTTGGCCTTCCTGTCTCCTCCATAGCTGGCATGACGTGGCATGGGATGACGTGGCGTGGGGTGACGTGGCACAGTGTGGAATGAAATGGGCACAATGCAAGAGGATTGAAAGATGGATAAGATAAGCGCCACGTGGATGAGTGCGGGGTATGCTGGGTTAGGAGAGGGGGGGAGTGGCGGAATCAACTAAGAACGGATATGAGCGTGGTATAACCTTTTGTGAATCGACTAAAAACGGATTCCATTGTACTGAGCTTAACATCACACCCCATCACACCCCATCACACCCCATCACACTCCAGAACCCCTCAGCACATCCCAGAACACCTCAGCACTCCAGCACTCACTCCTCCGGGCCGCCCTGGCCAGCAGCGGGGAACCACTTGAGCGTGGGGTATCCGCGGACCTCGTGGTTCGTGCACAGCTCCGCGTGCGCCTGGCAGTCCACCTGCGCGCGCACAAGGGCGGGAGGCGGGGAGAGGGGAAAAGGCGGAGGGGGGAGAGGGGATCTATTGAGCGCCTTTAAACGCACAGCTCCGCGTGCGCCTCGCAGTCCGGCTGCGCGCATGGCACGGGAACGCGGGAGGGGATTGGGGGGAGGCGGAAGGGGAAAGGACGGCGGGAAAGGGGATTCGTGAGGCGCCTTCAACCGTGGCGATGCAATGCGACGCACCTTGGCGATTTGATGCGACGCACCTTGGCGACGCGCTGCGACGCACCTTGGCGACGCAATGCGGCGTACCTTGGCGAAGCAATGCGACGTACCTTGGCGACGCGATGCGACGCACCTTGGCGACGCCATGCGACGCACCTTGGCGACGCCATGCGACGCACCTTGGCGATGCGGATGGCGTCGGAGTCTTTGAATGCCGTCGCCACCTTCTCCCAGTCCGGCGCCAGGCGCTGGCAGTGCCCGCACCTGCCAAAAAAGGTTCGCGAAATGCGAATTCGGGTTGCGAAGTAGCGTGAACGCGACCCAACAAAGGTGTAAAGTTAGTCACGCGAAGAAATCTATTCTTGTAAATTGTTATCCTTATATCGAAACAATTCTTCTTAAAAATCCGCACACCCAGCCGATGGCTTGAATCACCACGCGGGTTAGAAATGCAGATGGGACGCAACAGTTACTACTGCATTGTAACATCGACTCGCAAAAAAGTCGCAGCGGCCCGCAAACAGAAATGATACCAGAGATGACGTCATCATGAGTTACAACACGTCACCATCACGGGCGGGACGCACCAGGGAGCGTAGAACTTCACAAACAGGACCGAGTCGCCTCCCACGTGGTCGTAGAAGTTCGCCGGCGTGAGCTCCAGCACGTCCGATTCCGCCGCGCCGTCCGCCGCCGATCGTGGCACTGCGAGCAACAATGCTGCCAGCAGAACAAGCGCAACGATCGCGATTGGCGGAGATCCGCCGGTGACGAGTCGCGGGTTGGCCATTATGATCGCGGACTCGACGGCTACCGTCACGCACGGAGCGGCGAGAGGAAAGTGACACGACGGTGGCGCGACGGCTTCTATAAATATCCCGGAACTAGTAGATGAAGGAACTAGGACGGAAGACAGACTTAGAATTCCTTGGGACCGTCAGTCAAGCTCAGCAGCAGTATCGTACTCAGTACTCCACCCCACCAAGCCCAGCGACGGAGGAGGGGAGGCGCGCGCAGTCTTTTTGTCGTGATCGGTGGGGGAGGTGGAATGTATCGGACGGTTTAGATCTCTTGTTCGAATCTTAGCCGAAGTCGATATCCTCGCTATAACTTCGGTAGCCTCACAACCTGCCCTCCTGTAAGGAATTTTCTCGAATTCCTTATCGGGGTTGACTGCTGCGCGTACAACCCGATTTTCGGAGTTCGCACGTTCGGGCGATTTCCACGCTGCCGAGGCTCCTCGCGTCGCCTTCGGCATTCCCATCGCCAAACCTGCACCCAACCTCGCTCGTCCGAGGTTTCCTCCTAGCTAGGCTAGCCCTACATTAGTCTGTGCATTCATTGTATTCTCGGTTGATTTCAATCACAGCCTCGTTATTCGTTTACCTGCGCACTCTCTTTTACAACTCATAACATCTCCAGACCTTCAAGGGGAAATTCAGGAGAAGTCCCGATCGAGACGCGTGCTGAATCCTGATGTTCCTTATCCGCTATTGGCTAAAACAAGCTTGGCTTCTAGAAGCTGCATCTTTAAATGAGAAGGGAAAACAGTGAACAAGATTACACGCGTATGTTAATACAGGCTTGAGAAATATAGGGTTCTGTAACAATTATTAGAATGCCTTAAGGAGTTGTTATTGGACTGCTACCCTTTGAATAAGTCTTGGCTACAAAACGAATGAACACGAATTTCTAGCACTAGCCTGATCAAATACTAGCTGGCTCTGACACAGAAAGATTGCCTTATAATTTTCCAGTTTGATGCTAGAATACTCAATCTGATCCACAGTTCAAGGAGCTTATTGCTGGAACGGAAGCCATCTACAAGGAAATACTCGCTTGCCCGAGTTATGATGGGTTTGGAGTGTCGGTCTTTATGATGGGTATGTTGGACGGCTGCCGTTAATGACACCCTGTTTCCCATGCCATTGGGTGCGATGCGTGAGGTTCTGTCGACGCATGCGATGATGCGATGCCCGAAGGCCATGCGACTGCGGGTAACGGCTGCGAAAACGGGAGTGGGAAATGTGTTGATGGATGGCCAAATATTCGTGCGGCTTCGCACGCCCGACGCGCGGTAAGCGCGGGAACACGAATGCCGCGGTTGTGAAAAATCGGCTGCGGCGAAAATTGAAATTTGAGGGGGCGGCGCGGTTTTCAATTTGCGCCTTTCCACTTGGAGAGAATTTTCGACGCCAATTTTCAACGCCCCCCAACCAACATTCCGATTATTCGCCAGGCAGATTGGGCAGCAGGCACCTCCGGGTTGAGGCAACAGTGGAACTGGGCAGCAGGTGGGGCAGCAGCGCAGCAACAAAAATCGATTTGACTCGACTCGACTCGCCCGAAAGCATTTCCATCCAAACGAAAATCCGTCCAACGGGCGGATGGAAACAAGATTTGGAGGGCGGGCCGTGGGGTGGGGCTGGGCATCAAAGACTTACCATACTCGAAGTCAGCTTGTAGTAGTCGTCACGAAACGGAGGTACGTAGACGGCGGTAGGAGCTCGTAGAAGCATGAGCTGATTATCAGATAGCGCCGACACTTCTGCTTTGTTGCATGAGACGAAGCAGATGTACGTTCGTCCGTAGAACGTTATCGTAGCTGCAGTCTACCCTCCTTGTGACCAGGCCGCCATAGCTCCCAACACGGCTAGTTCCACTAGTAACGCCATTTCGTTAACGGCCAGCAGTTGCCGGCACCTACCGATAGCGTTAGCTTTCACAGTAATTAGTACTATTATTATATAGAAACTTCACTGCCGATCCACGACCACGGCGATAGCGATATTCAGCCGAGATAAGAATCATCCATGGCGCAACTTGCCATGCTTCCGCTAATGGAGGAATCACCTGTGGCCGACGATAACGGCGGCTATAGCGGCGGATATAACGGCGGCATGTTCGCTCAGCAGACGAGCCCCGCGCCTCCCTTATGGACCTCTCTAGACGCCATGCACGGGCTTGACCACGAAGCTTCTGGATTCCTTCCACTGGACGCATCCGACGGAGACGAATCGCAGCAGCAGCAGCAACAGTCGGACTACACCCACCACCACAGCCACCAGCCGTCGGATCATCTCAACGTACGGCGAGATCTTCTCGAGGACGATAACTTCGGTAGCAGCGAGTTCGACCCGTCGTCGGGAGCGAGCGGATCGGGGGAGTGTGTGATGCTGTACCAAGACGCGCAGAGGGGGGAGGAGGAGGACATGGTGGGGAGCCTTAATCTCCGCATCTCCCCGCAACCCGACGCGTCCGATCTCACATCGGCGCTTTTCTCCGAAGGCCAGGCGAGCAACAACGGCGGCGGTGCGACGCTCGGCGGGTCCTCGTGGCAGCTGTGCGACAATCTGTTCGCAGAGCCGATCGTCGACTGCGGCGAGCTGCTCTCCGGCGACGGCGACGGCGACGATCTGCTTGCGGCGTCCGCGGGCCACGACGAGGCGGAGCAGGCGGACGGCGGAAGCGGCGGAGAAGAAATGGAGATGAAGGACCCCGCCGTTGCGTATCTCACGCCGGAAAAGGCGCCGCCTGTGCCGGCAAGTTCGGACCCAGTGGAGGTGACAACGCCGGGGTGTGACAATAGCGAGGGCGATTTCAACACGCCGCAGGTGCCAAGCGCCGGTTTCTCCCGCCCGCGCAGCCGCTGCCCCACGGAGCGGGGACTGGCGCATAAGGGGGCGATCATGACCCCGTCCGGCGCAGCGACGACGCGCGCAACCCGCGAGAACCTGATGCGGCGGCTTGCGCAGGCGGGCGGTGCGGCGGAGCCGTGGACCCCCGTGACCCCCGCGAAGGACGAGGCGGGGAAGCGGTCCCCCGACCAGCTTGCGCGCGTGGCGGTGTCGCTGGATGCGGAGCTGGGGCTGTTCGCGGACTCCCCGCCGCTGCTGTGGAACGGAGTGGCGCAGCAGCAGCAACAGCAGCCGCCTCAGGCGCAGGCGCAGGGGCAGTGCTTCCAGGTGCCCCAGTACCCGCAGCAGCAGCAGCAGCAGCAGCAGCAGCAGCAAGTGGCGTATAACAACGGACGAATGCTGGAAGCATCGTGCTCTAGGACCATGCCTGCTGGTGCCGTGCAGAGCATGCTCGGCGCGCAGCAGCAGCAGCCGCAGCAGCAATACGGCATGGCGGGTCAACAGCAGCAGCAGAGCTTGGCGGGGCAGCACGGGTTCTGCGCGACGCCCGGGGAAGGCGCGCACATGCGCGCGGACCCCGCGGAGTGCACCGACATGTCGCTCTTCTTCGACATGGAGCAACAGCAGCAGCAGCAGCAGCAGCCCCAGGCATCGTTTCAGCAGCCGCCGCAATCCCAACAGCAGTACCACCAGCAGCACTATCAGCAGCCGCAGCAGCATCAGAGCCGGGGGTATCAGCAGACGCAGCAGCAGCAGATGCAGCAGCAGCAGGAGTCGGACGTGGTTCGCGATTTCCTCTCGTCGTCTCCTGACGGCGACGCGGCTCTCGACAGCTTGGTTCTTGACGGCCTGCCGTGCGACAGACGGCTGTCCGGCCAGATGATGCTGCCCAAGGACCTCGCGTCGTTGATGAACGACGCTGACGTGGACGCGTCTGCCGCCACGTGGCCGCAGCCAGGCAGCAACACCGCGGTGTCACCGCCCCTAAGCAACGGCTACAACACCAGTGCTGGTACCATGAGTATGGATGCAGCAGCTGCTCCTACTACTACTACTAGTGCTGGCGTTGCAACTGTCTCAGCCGGAGCGTGCGTGACTCGCCCGCCGTCGGTCTACCCTGCTGCTCCCGCCTCCTCGTACCAATCCTCACACCTCCTCACCGCTTCTTCCTCCGGTCCTCTGCACGGCTCCTCCTCCGCCGGCCCTCCCCCGCCCCCGCGCGTTCTCTCTGCGCCTGCGCCTTCCGCGTCGTCCGCGCAATCCTCCGCGCCCTTGCGCCTGACGATGCCGCTGCTGGTGATGAACCGACGCGCGCCCGTTCCGCCTGCCGCGCAAGTAGGCGGCGGTGTTTCCGCCCCTGCAATGGTGCAGCCCATGCCGCAGCAAGGCCAGATGCTCCCCCAACACCAGAACCATAACCATAACCATAACCAGAATCAGCAGCAGCCGCCGCAGCAGCAGCAGCCGAAGGCGATCCACTTGAGCTGTTCGTCCTCGCATCAGCTACATCTGCAGCAGCCACAGCAGCAGGCGCCACCCATGCACCAGCACCAGCAACGCCAGCCGCAGCCGTACCAACCTCAGCAGACTCAACAGCCACCCCAGCAACAGTTCCAGCAACAGCAACACCATCAGCAGCAGCAGCAGCAGCAGAACCACGGCCCTCCTCCACACTACCAGATGCCTCCGCAAGCCAACCACCAGCCCACCTCCTCCCACGCACAAGGTCGCCAGGAGCACCACCATCAGCACAACTCAGCCTGCCCGTACCACAGCCAGCAGCATCAGCACCCGCAGCACAACCAAGCGCAGCCGCAACTCCAGACGCAGCAGCGCGTGCACCAGCAACATACCGTTTGCCCCACTCACCCCCAGCACCAGCAGCCGCAGCAGCAGCAGCCATACTCCTCCCAGCCCTGCCAGCCCCAGCAGCAATGGCAGCAAGCCCCTCCTGCTGCTCAGCAACAGCCGCAACAGCAGCAGCAACAGCAACTTGTCCGCAGCAATAGCCGCAATGACAGCAGCTACGTCCGTCAACCTCAGTTCCAGGCACAGCCGCACCAGGCACAGCCGCACCAGGCACAGCAGCACCTGCCCCAGCAACTGCCTTGCCAGCAAAGCGTGCCCCAGCAGCAGCCTGCTATGCCACCCCAGGCGCTGAACCAGCCACTGAAGCCGCAGCAAGAAGCACCACCACGGGTGCCGCCCGCGTTTCAGCAGCAAGTGCAGCAACAGTCGCAGCAGCAGCTGCCGCAGCAGCCACGCGTGCAGCAGCATTCTCAACTGCAACGCCAGAACAGCCAGTCTCGTGGTGGCAGTTTGCCTCAGGGACCCGTCTCTGCTCCTCCCGCACCCGCTCCCAAGCAGCCTGCTCAAAAGCCAACGTCGTCTGGAGGTGCGAAGCGGAAGGCAGAGGAGCCACTAGGCGCCAGTGGGAAGGCCACATCATCACGAGCCCAGCCTCCAGCAGTGAAAAGGATCAAGTCTGAAGACGCTTGTGAGGCGACCACCAAGCAAGCTTCGCCTGTTACTGCTTCAGCTTCTGCTCCGGCTTCAGCTGGGCCGGTTGATCTGACCTGCAGAGAGCAGGAGCAGCTGGGATTGGAGACTGGCGACGACAGTGATGGGGTGGTGTTGAACGAGCCATCAGCTAAGGGATCTCGCACTGCTGCAGCCGCTGCGTCTCCTGCTGGTGCTGCTGGCACTTCTGCTGGTGCGGTGAAGGCTGAGGCTCCTGCAGCTGATGCGAAGAATGTGAAAGCGAAAGCGGAGGTGCAAGTGAAGGAGGAGCCAGGCAAGGCTGGGAGCCGAGCAGGCGGATTGACTAGAAGTAGCTCTCAGAAGGAGAGTGGTAACCAGGCGTTCCAGGATGACTTGGGGGAAGATGGGGCTGTGGAGGACGGTGAGGATGATGAAGGAGGAGGGGTGATAGTGGGACGGAAGAGGTCGTTTGTGCAGAATCCGGCTGCTTCTGCTGCGAGGAAGAGGAGGCATGACATGAACCAGCGGCTGAAAGTGCTCGTGGATCTCGTCCCTAACAGCAGCAAGGTGTGTGTGAGACCTGAAATCTACATCTTATTCTCGTTTTACCTCATTTGAAGTCTTCAGCCTTACAAGATACGCAGAAACCGAATCCATGGTACGGAATCTATGACTAAAATGTTTCTATTTCATTCGTGTTTTCTGATGCAGGGAGACACTGCGTCAATGCTGCTTGAAGTTATTGACTACGTGAAGGCACTGATGTCTCGGATCTCTGTAAGTCGATTTGCTCAAGCAGATTCCCACTTGTCCAATCTGTCACGAGTTCGACGCATCAAAACAAACTGAACCGTTTCTAACCTTTTACACGTTGGCTTTTGTGCGTGCAGGAAGCGGTGGGTGAGGACACCACTCAACAGCTAGGACTTACTAGGAGTTCAAGCACCCAGAGCCAGGCTTCACCACAAGTGGTAAGAACCAACTCAGTAACCACCCCTTCCTTCAAGATTACAAACGTCTTCTCTCACCTTCTTCCAGTCTCAGCTGGTTCTGGTAACTTTCATTGACTAAGTCACAAGCTCTGATCTCACACTGCTTTTCCTGCTCCATGATTGTTTCTGAATTGGTTTTCAGGAATCTGAGTCCAATCCCAATGGATCACAGCAATGGACTTCACAGCAGCCAGCCCCCCAGCAACCCATGCCCTGCAATGGGGCCTCGATGTTGCCGCCAGCGCCATGCAACGATCCAACGGCTGGCATGTTACCCGCGATACCGACGAACGGGATGAGCGCGCGAGCCCTCCAGGCTGCGAAATTCCGTATGCGAAGAAAGTTGATGGCAGCGAAACTCGAAGCGGAGCGGAAGAATGGCGCTGCCCCGAGCATTACGAAGGATAGCGAAAACGGCGAGGTGGTTTCAAGCGATGGTGATAAGTCGACGGGTGACGCGAAAGGCCCCCAGCGAAATCTAGCTTCGCGCCAATGCGCTCTTGTCAAAGTAGCTCTTGCTAGGAAAGTATACGCACTTCAGCAGAGGAATCACAATACTATGTAGAGGTAGCATAAACGATACATAGGCATGGCAATAACAAATACGCCCCTAATTTGATTTGCTCTAATGTATTGCTCTGTTATACCACAACCTTCCGACTCGTGCACATGAGCGACAGAAGAAGCATCCATGCTGGAAAAGCCATATTTCATATAAATCCAAACATGGTTGTTTCCTCCCAATACGCACCACTCACGGACGAAACGTCCAGCCAGCCCATCGACATGAACATGACACATAGGCTACTCGTGTCCACAGTCCACTACTTGGATGCTCTACCAGCACTGGGGACAAACGCTGACAGGATATTCCTCCGTATGGTGATATCATCCACCTTTTCAAGCTTCAAATCCTGCCACAGAACAGTCATGAACCAAGCAGCCATAAGTCCAATGGTGGAGGTCCAGCCAACATGCCACTCTACAATCCACATTGTGCAAGCACAACCACTGGACTGGAAACACCAGATGATCTGGTACACAATGCCCACGAGAGAGAGTGTTTCACAATGAAGGGGCAGGTTTGACGTGCAGGTTTGACGTGCAGGTTTGAGGTGCAGGTTTGAGGTGCAGGTTTGAGGTGCAGGTTTGAGGTGCAGGTTTGAGGTGCAGGTTTGAGGTGCAGGTTTGAGGTGCAGGTTTGAGGTGCAGGTTTGAGGTGCAGGTTTGACGTGCAGCTTTGACGTGCAGGTTTGAGGTGCAGGTTTGAGGTGCAGGTTTGAGGTGCAGGTTTGAGGTGCAGGTTTGAGGTGCAGGTTTGAGGTGCAGGTTTGAGGTGCAGGTTTGAGGTGCAGGTTTGAGGTGCAGGTTTGAGGTGCAGGTTTGAGGTGCAGGTTTGAGGTGCAGGTTTGAGGTGCAGGTTTGAGGTGCAGGTTTGAGGTGCAGGTTTGAGGTGCAGGTTTGAGGTGCAGGTTTGAGGTGCAGGTTTGAGGTGCAGGTTTGAGGTGCAGGTTTGAGGTGCAGGTTTGAGGTGCAGGTTTGAGGTGCAGGTTTGAGGTGCAGGTTTGAGGTGCAGGTTTGAGGTGCAGGTTTGAGGTGCAGGTTTGAGGTGCAGGTTTGAGGTGCAGGTTTGAGGTGCAGGTTTGAGGTGCAGGTTTGAGGTGCAGGTTTGAGGTGCAGGTTTGAGGTGCAGGTTTGAGGTGCAGGTTTGAGGTGCAGGTTTGAGGTGCAGGTTTGAGGTGCAGGTTTGAGGTGCAGGTTTGAGGTGCAGGTTTGAGGTGCAGGTTTGAGGTGCAGGTTTGAGGTGCAGGTTTGAGGTGCAGGTTTGAGGTGCAGGTTTGAGGTGCAGGTTTGAGGTGCAGGTTTGAGGTGCAGGTTTGAGGTGCAGGTTTGAGGTGCAGGTTTGAGGTGCAGGTTTGAGGTGCAGGTTTGAGGTGCAGGTTTGAGGTGCAGGTTTGAGGTGCAGGTTTGAGGTGCAGGTTTGAGGTGCAGGTTTGAGGTGCAGGTTTGAGGTGCAGGTTTGAGGTGCAGGTTTGAGGTGCAGGTTTGAGGTGCAGGTTTGAGGTGCAGGTTTGAGGTGCAGGTTTGAGGTGCAGGTTTGAGGTGCAGGTTTGAGGTGCAGGTTTGAGGTGCAGGTTTGAGGTGCAGGTTTGAGGTGCAGGTTTGAGGTGCAGGTTTGAGGTGCAGGCTACATGTATGCCCGGCACAGTACCCACCCCGTCAAGCACTTTGGAGAGGCGGGTAATTTCCTTCTCCACATACCCATCCCCCTTGTCCACCACACTCCTCATCACCTTCAGGTAGAGCTCTGCATACCTGCAAGAAATGAGGGGGGAATGCGGATGAAGGAGTGAGGGGGGAAATGTTGGTGAAAAAGTGGTTCAAATGTCTGACTCTTGGCTTTTGCAGCGGCTCTTGCCCACAGTGCCATGCATCACCTTGGTACCCATCTCCACCTGCCGATGTTCGAGTTGACCCAAACATCGCATCACCCCCCCCCCCCCCTTCTCCCTTTTCTCCCTCCTCTCCTCTCACCCCTCTCTCCCCTCTCTCCCCTCTCTCCCCTCTCGCTCCATCCTCTCTCACCTTTTCCCACTCACTGGCACAGCCACTGCGTCTGCCTCTGCCATCAGCCCTGCTCTCTCTTGAGCCGAAGCTTCCAGGAATCTGCTTGCAATTCTGTCCAGAGATTCTAGACGACCAGCCTGCACAAGCAGCAGCGGAGGGAGAGAGCAGCAGCCAGAGTGCATCCGCAAGCAGCAAAGGGAGAGAAAGGGGTGATGCGACACTGGTGCCTGATGGTGAGCCTTCATCCTCAAAGCACCGTCTCAACTCGCCACGTGATCAAAGTGTCGTTTTGTTTTGAGACGTCTCGAAAGGGGTGAAGCGACATTGGTGCCTGATGGTGAACCCCCACCCTCACAGCGCCCTCCCAACACACCGCACTGGTGAGGCCGCCCTTGACAGTCCTGCTGGTGCCGGCGCGCTCATTCACAAACTGCACCAGCTCCTCCAGACCCCTCTCCCCGCTGAAGTCCATCCTCCCCCTCGCCCTAGGGAGTGGGTCTAAGGGCGTGGGTCTAAGGGCGTGGGTCTAAGGGCGTGGGTCTAAGGGCGTGGGTCTAAGGGAGTGGGTCTAAGGGAGTGGGTCTAAGGGAGTGGGTCTAAGGGCGTGGGTCTAAGGGAGTGGGTCTAAGGGAGTGGGTCTAAGGGAGTGGGTCTAAGGGAGTAAGGGAGTGGGTCTAAGGGCGTGGGTCTAAGGGAGTGGGTCTAAGGGAGTGGGTCTAAGGGAGTGGGTCTAAGGGAGTGGGTCTAAGGGAGTGGGTCTAAGGGAGTGGGTCTAAGGGAGTGGGTCTAAGGGAGTGGGTCTAAGGGAGTGGGTCTAAGGGAGTGGGTCTAAGGGCGTGGGTCTAAGGGAGTGGGTCTAAGGGAGTGGGTCTAAGGGAGTGGGTCTAAGGGCGTGGGTCTAAGGGCGTGGGTCTAAGGGAGTGGGTCTAAGGGCGTGGGTCTAAGGGAGTGGGTCTAAGGGAGTGGGTCTAAGGGAGTGGGTCTAAGGGCGTGGGTCTAAGGGAGTGGGTCTAAGGGAGTGGGTCTAAGGGAGTGGGTCTAAGGGCGTGGGTCTAAGGGAGTGGGTCTAAGGGCGTGGGTCTAAGGGAGTGGGTCTAAGGGAGTGGGTCTAAGGGAGTGGGTCTAAGGGCGTGGGTCTAAGGGCGTGGGTCTAAGGGCGTGGGTCTAAGGGCGTGGGTCTAAGGGAGTGGGTCTAAGGGCGTGGGTCTAAGGGAGTGGGTCTAAGGGAGTGGGTCTAAGGGAGTGGGTCTAAGGGAGTGGGTCTAAGGGAGTGGGTCTAAGGGAGTGGGTCTAAGGGCGTGGGTCTAAGGGAGTGGGTCTAAGTTCGTGGGTATTAGGGAGTGGGTCTAAGGGCGTGGGTCTAAGGGAGTGGGTCTAAGGGAGTGGGTCTAAGGGAGTGGGTCTAAGGGAGTGGGTCTAAGGGAGTGGGTCTAAGGGAGTGGGTCTAAGGGCGTGGGTCTAAGGGAGTGGGTCTAAGGGAGTGGGTCTAAGGGAGTGGGTCTAAGGGAGTGGGTCTAAGGGAGTGGGTCTAAGGGCGTGGGTCTAAGGGCGTGGGTCTAAGGGCGTGGGTCTAAGGGAGTGGGTCTAAGGGAGTGGGTCTAAGGGCGTGGGTCTAAGGGCGTGGGTCTAAGGGCGTGGGTCTAAGGGAGTGGGTGAGTGGGTCTAAGGGAGTGGGTCTAAGGGAGTGGGTCTAAGGGCGTGGGTCTAAGGGAGTGGGTCTAAGGGAGTGGGTCTAAGGGAGTGGGTCTAAGGGAGTGGGTCTAAGGGAGTGGGTCTAAGGGCGTGGGTCTAAGGGAGTGGGTCTAAGGGAGTGGGTCTAAGGGAGTGGGTCTAAGGGCGTGGGTCTAAGGGAGTGGGTCTAAGGGAGTGGGTCTAAGGGAGTGGGTCTAAGGGCGTGGGTCTAAGGGAGTGGGTCTAAGGGAGTGGGTCTAAGGGAGTGGGTCTAAGGGAGTGGGTCTAAGGGAGTGGGTCTAAGGGCGTGGGTCTAAGGGCGTGGGTCTAAGGGCGTGGGTCTAAGGGAGTGGGTCTAAGGGAGTGGGTCTAAGGGCGTGGGTCTAAGGGCGTGGGTCTAAGGGCGTGGGTCTAAGGGAGTGGGTCTAAGGGAGTGGGTCTAAGGGAGTGGGTCTAAGGGAGTGGGTCTAAGGGAGTGGGTCTAAGGGAGTGGGTCTAAGGGAGTGGGTCTAAGGGAGTGGGTCTAAGGGAGTGGGTCTAAGGGAGTGGGTCTAAGGGAGTGGGTCTAAGGGAGTGGGTCTAAGGGAGTGGGTCTAAGGGAGTGGGTCTAAGGGCGTGGGTCTAAGGGCGTGGGTCTAAGGGAGTGGGTCTAAGGGAGTGGGTCTAAGGGAGTGGGTCTAAGGGAGTGGGTCTAAGGGAGTGGGTCTAAGGGAGTGGGTCTAAGGGAGTGGGTCTAAGGGCGTGGGTCTAAGGGAGTGGGTCTAAGGGAGTGGGTCTAAGGGAGTGGGTCTAAGGGAGTGGGTCTAAGGGAGTGGGTCTAAGGGAGTGGGTCTAAGGGCGTGGGTCTAAGGGAGTGGGTCTAAGGGAGTGGGTCTAAGGGAGTGGGTCTAAGGGAGTGGGTCTAAGGGAGTGGGTCTAAGGGAGTGGGTCTAAGGGAGTGGGTCTAAGGGCGTGGGTCTAAGGGAGTGGGTCTAAGGGAGTGGGTCTAAGGGAGTGGGTCTAAGGGAGTGGGTCTAAGGGCGTGGGTCTAAGGGAGTGGGTCTAAGGGAGTGGGTCTAAGGGAGTGGGTCTAAGGGAGTGGGTCTAAGGGCGTGGGTCTAAGGGAGTGGGTCTAAGGGAGTGGGTCTAAGGGAGTGGGTCTAAGGGAGTGGGTCTAAGGGAGTGGGTCTAAGGGCGTGGGTCTAAGGGAGTGGGTCTAAGGGCGTGGGTCTAAGGGCGTGGGTCTAAGGGAGTGGGTCTAAGGGCGTGGGTCTAAGGGAGTGGGTCTAAGGGAGTGGGTCTAAGGGCGTGGGTCTAAGGGAGTGGGTCTAAGGGAGTGGGTCTAAGTTCGTGGGTATTAGGGAGTGGGTCTAAGGGCGTGGGTCTAAGGGAGTGGGTCTAAGGGAGTGGGTCTAAGGGCGTGGGTCTAAGGGAGTGGGTCTAAGGGAGTGGGTCTAAGGGAGTGGGTCTAAGGGCGTGGGTCTAAGGGAGTGGGTCTAAGTTCGTGGGTATTAGGGAGTGGGTCTAAGGGCGTGGGTCTAAGGGAGTGGGTCTAAGGGAGTGGGTCTAAGGGAGTGGGTCTAAGGGAGTGGGTCTAAGGGAGTGGGTCTAAGGGAGTGGGTCTAAGGGCGTGGGTCTAAGGGAGTGGGTCTAAGGGCGTGGGTCTAAGGGAGTGGGTCTAAGGGAGTGGGTCTAAGGGAGTGGGTCTAAGGGCGTGGGTCTAAGGGCGTGGGTCTAAGGGAGTGGGTCTAAGGGAGTGGGTCTAAGGGAGTGGGTCTAAGGGCGTGGGTCTAAGGGCGTGGGTCTAAGGGCGTGGGTCTAAGGGAGTGGGTCTAAGGGAGAGAGGACTAAGGGCGTGGGTCTAAGGGAGTGGGTCTAAGGGAGTGGGTCTAAGGGAGTGGGTCTAAGGGAGTGGGTGAGTGGGTCTAAGGGAGTGGGTCTAAGGGAGTGGGTGAGTGGGTCTAAGGGAGTGGGTCTAAGGGAGTGGGTCTAAGGGCGTGGGTCTAAGGGCGTGGGTCTAAGGGCGTGGGTCTAAGGGAGTGGGTCTAAGGGAGTGGGTCTAAGGGAGTGGGTCTAAGGGAGTGGGTCTAAGGGCGTGGGTCTAAGGGCGTGGGTCTAAGGGAGTGGGTCTAAGGGAGTGGGTCTAAGGGAGTGGGTCTAAGGGAGTGGGTCTAAGGGAGTGGGTCTAAGGGAGTGGGTCTAAGGGAGTGGGTCTAAGGGAGTGGGTCTAAGGGAGTGGGTCTAAGGGAGTGGGTCTAAGGGAGTGGGTCTAAGGGCGTGGGTCTAAGGGCGTGGGTCTAAGGGCGTGGGTCTAAGGGAGTGGGTCTAAGGGAGTGGGTCTAAGGGCGTGGGTCTAAGGGCGTGGGTCTAAGGGCGTGGGTCTAAGGGAGTGGGTCTAAGGGAGTGGGTCTAAGGGAGTGGGTCTAAGGGAGTGGGTCTAAGGGAGTGGGTCTAAGGGCGTGGGTCTAAGGGAGTGGGTCTAAGGGAGTGGGTCTAAGGGAGTGGGTCTAAGGGAGTGGGTCTAAGGGAGTGGGTCTAAGGGAGTGGGTCTAAGGGAGTGGGTCTAAGGGCGTGGGTCTAAGGGCGTGGGTCTAAGGGCGTGGGTCTAAGGGAGTGGGTCTAAGGGAGTGGGTCTAAGGGCGTGGGTCTAAGGGCGTGGGTCTAAGGGCGTGGGTCTAAGGGAGTGGGTCTAAGGGAGTGGGTCTAAGGGAGTGGGTCTAAGGGAGTAAGGAAGTGGGTCTAAGGGAGTGGGTCTAAGGGAGTGGGTCTAAGGGAGTGGGTCTAAGGGCGTGGGTCTAAGGGAGTGGGTCTAAGGGAGTGGGTCTAAGGGAGTGGGTCTAAGGGAGTGGGTCTAAGGGAGTGGGTCTAAGGGAGTGGGTCTAAGGGCGTGGGTCTAAGGGAGTGGGTCTAAGGGAGTGGGTCTAAGGGAGTGGGTCTAAGGGAGTGGGTCTAAGGGAGTGGGTCTAAGGGAGTGGGTCTAAGGGAGTGGGTCTAAGGGAGTGGGTCTAAGGGCGTGGGTCTAAGGGCGTGGGTCTAAGGGCGTGGGTCTAAGGGAGTGGGTCTAAGGGAGTGGGTCTAAGGGCGTGGGTCTAAGGGCGTGGGTCTAAGGGCGTGGGTCTAAGGGAGTGGGTCTAAGGGAGTGGGTCTAAGGGAGTGGGTCTAAGGGAGTGGGTCTAAGGGAGTAAGGAAGTGGGTCTAAGGGAGTGGGTCTAAGGGAGTGGGTCTAAGGGAGTGGGTCTAAGGGCGTGGGTCTAAGGGCGTGGGTCTAAGGGAGTGGGTCTAAGGGAGTGGGTCTAAGGGAGTGGGTCTAAGGGAGTGGGTCTAAGGGCGTGGGTCTAAGGGAGTGGGTCTAAGGGAGTGGGTCTAAGGGAGTGGGTCTAAGGGAGTGGGTCTAAGGGAGTGGGTCTAAGGGAGTGGGTCTAAGGGAGTGGGTCTAAGGGAGTGGGTCTAAGGGAGTGGGTCTAAGGGAGTGGGTCTAAGGGAGTGGGTCTAAGGGAGTGGGTCTAAGGGAGTGGGTCTAAGGGAGTGGGTCTAAGGGAGTGGGTCTAAGGGAGTGGGTCTAAGGGCGTGGGTCTAAGGGCGTGGGTCTAAGGGAGTGGGTCTAAGGGAGTGGGTCTAAGGGCGTGGGTCTAAGGGCGTGGGTCTAAGGGCGTGGGTCTAAGGGCGTGGGTCTAAGGGCGTGGGTCTAAGGGAGTGGGTCTAAGGGAGTGGGTCTAAGGGAGTGGGTCTAAGGGAGTGGGTCTAAGGGAGTGGGTCTAAGGGAGTGGGTCTAAGGGAGTGGGTCTAAGGGCGTGGGTCTAAGGGCGTGGGTCTAAGGGCGTGGGTCTAAGGGCGTGGGTCTAAGGGAGTGGGTCTAAGGGAGTGGGTCTAAGGGAGTGGGTCTAAGGGCGTGGGTCTAAGGGAGTGGGTCTAAGGGCGTGGGTCTAAGGGAGTGGGTCTAAGGGAGTGGGTCTAAGGGAGTGGGTCTAAGGGAGTGGGTCTAAGGGAGTGGGTCTAAGGGAGTGGGTCTAAGGGCGTGGGTCTAAGGGCGTGGGTCTAAGGGAGTGGGTCTAAGGGAGTGGGTCTAAGGGAGTGGGTCTAAGGGAGTGGGTCTAAGGGAGTGGGTCTAAGGGAGTGGGTCTAAGGGAGTGGGTCTAAGGGAGTGGGTCTAAGGGCGTGGGTCTAAGGGCGTGGGTCTAAGGGCGTGGGTCTAAGGGCGTGGGTCTAAGGGCGTGGGTCTAAGGGAGTGGGTCTAAGGGAGTGGGTCTAAGGGAGTGGGTCTAAGGGAGTGGGTCTAAGGGAGTGGGTCTAAGGGAGTGGGTCTAAGGGAGTGGGTCTAAGGGCGTGGGTCTAAGGGCGTGGGTCTAAGGGAGTGGGTCTAAGGGAGTGGGTCTAAGGGCGTGGGTCTAAGGGAGTGGGTCTAAGGGAGTGGGTCTAAGGGAGTGGGTCTAAGGGCGTGGGTCTAAGGGAGTGGGTCTAAGGGAGTGGGTCTAAGGGCGTGGGTCTAAGGGAGTGGGTCTAAGGGCGTGGGTCTAAGGGCGTGGGTCTAAGGGCGTGGGTCTAAGGGCGTGGGTCTAAGGGAGTGGGTCTAAGGGAGTGGGTCTAAGGGAGTGGGTCTAAGGGAGTGGGTCTAAGGGAGTGGGTCTAAGGGAGTGGGTCTAAGGGAGTGGGTCTAAGGGAGTGGGTCTAAGGGAGTGGGTCTAAGGGCGTGGGTCTAAGGGAGTGGGTCTAAGGGCGTGGGTCTAAGGGAGTGGGTCTAAGGGAGTGGGTCTAAGGGAGTGGGTCTAAGGGAGTGGGTCTAAGGGAGTGGGTCTAAGGGAGTGGGTCTAAGGGAGTGGGTCTAAGGGAGTGGGTCTAAGGGAGTGGGTCTAAGGGCGTGGGTCTAAGGGCGTGGGTCTAAGGGAGTGGGTCTAAGGGAGTGGGTCTAAGGGAGTGGGTCTAAGGGAGTGGGTCTAAGGGAGTGGGTCTAAGGGAGTGGGTCTAAGGGCGTGGGTCTAAGGGAGTGGGTCTAAGGGAGTGGGTCTAAGGGCGTGGGTCTAAGGGAGTGGGTCTAAGGGCGTGGGTCTAAGGGCGTGGGTCTAAGGGCGTGGGTCTAAGGGAGTGGGTCTAAGGGAGTGGGTCTAAGGGCGTGGGTCTAAGGGAGTGGGTCTAAGGGAGTGGGTCTAAGGGCGTGGGTCTAAGGGCGTGGGTCTAAGGGCGTGGGTCTAAGGGCGTGGGTCTAAGGGCGTGGGTCTAAGGGCGTGGGTCTAAGGGCGTGGGTCTAAGGGAGTGGGTCTAAGGGAGTGGGTCTAAGGGCGTGGGTCTAAGGGCGTGGGTCTAAGGGCGTGGGTCTAAGGGCGTGGGTCTAAGGGCGTGGGTCTAAGGGCGTGGGTCTAAGGGCGTGGGTCTAAGGGCGTGGGTCTAAGGGAGTGGGTCTAAGGGCGTGGGTCTAAGGGCGTGGGTCTAAGGGCGTGGGTCTAAGGGCGTGGGTCTAAGGGAGTGGGTCTAAGGGAGTGGGTCTAAGGGCGTGGGTCTAAGGGCGTGGGTCTAAGGGCGTGGGTCTAAGGGCGTGGGTCTAAGGGCGTGGGTCTAAGGGAGTGGGTCTAAGGGAGTGGGTCTAAGGGCGTGGGTCTAAGGGCGTGGGTCTAAGGGCGTGGGTCTAAGGGCGTGGGTCTAAGGGAGTGGGTCTAAGGGAGTGGGTCTAAGGGCGTGGGTCTAAGGGCGTGGGTCTAAGGGCGTGGGTCTAAGGGCGTGGGTCTAAGGGCGTGGGTCTAAGGGCGTGGGTCCTCACTTCCCCGATTCCTCACTTCACCACTTCAACTCCTCCCCACGTCCCACCCTCCCCACTTAGGTCGTGTCCGTAGGGATGACATGTCAAGCATTTGAGTGTCAACTTGTGATTTTGACACTTGCCAACATTGTTGGCAGAGTGTCAACGACACCAAACTGCCAGCCTGTAAAATTCGTCGGACTTCCAGCTCTGCGAAAATAAAGGACCTAACCAACTAACCACATTGATGGCATCGAGATTACCGACGACCACACCTGCCTAATCGACGGATGCTGAACTTCGTGCGACTGCAAGTTCGTGCAAGGGGTCGCATGTGTACTCAAACTCGTGCCCAACCAATAAGCTTCCGTCGCAGGGTGCCTTGCTGCGCTTCGATTTGACACTGAAGCTACAATGCTTGACACTCTAATTCCTCGCGCTTTGGGTTGACACTGCCAATGTTGACATGTCATCCCTACGGACACGAACTTACCGCACCAGTGAGGCCGCCCTTGATGGTCCTGCTGGTGCTGGCGCGCTCATTCACAAACCGCACCAGCTGCATCAACCCCCTCTCCCCGCTGTACTGCTCCCCTTCCTGTCCTCCCTCCTCCGCCCCGCTGCCTGCTGGGAACCACTTGAGCGTGGGGAAGCCCGATATGGCGAACCTGGTGGTGGGCGGAAGAGGCGTATGGATTTGAAGAATGCACTGAGGGACATAGGTCCTTGAGCTGCTGGTGCTGGTGAGCGTCCACCTTGGCAGAATCTAAATGACACAGATCCAACCAGGATATGACCTCTCACCTCTCCCACGCCACACCACACACCTGTCTTTGAGCCCCTGGTGCTGGTCAGCGTCCACCTTGGCGAGTCTTGGCAAGAGCATTGAGTCGAATCACCAACAAGTGCTGACCTGGGCGGACGCTGACGTCAAACCAGGACATACCCTCTCTCCACTGCACGCACCTGTCCTTGAGCTGCTGGTGCTGGTCAGCGTCCACCTTGGCGATCACCACGTTACTCTCCAGCCTGAATGCCTCTGCCACCTGCTCGTATACCTGCAGCCGCAGATAGACACCAGCGGATGTATATGCAGCACAAGATAGACATGCAAGTGTGGGGGATAGAACTCTCTCCAGAACGAATGCCTGTGCCACTTTTTCGTAGGTAAGCGATTTGGGACCGGATCAAAGGTGAGATTGTGTTGAGGTGCCGGGCTGATGGGTGATCTGGGACATGAAGGGAAAATAATAAGACCCAGTTGTGAGGGAGAGGAAGACGAAAGGAAGAAAATTGCCAGGAAGGTGGTGGGGAGTGAAGTGGCGGGTGGGGTTGGTGGAGGTGGGGGTGGGGGGTGGGGGGGGGGGGAATGGGGATTGGGTGGGGGATTGGGGTGTGAAATGGTGACTCTCAGGGGCGAGTTGCTTGCAGTGGCCGCACCAGGAGGCATAGAACTCCACGAGCACGTGCTTGGTGGGGTCTACAGCGATGACATCGAACGTGGTTTCTGACTCCACTCAGAAAGTCCTTCACCCTACAGTCAAAGGTGAGTTCTACTTGCAGGCACGGTTCTCACAGGGGCGAGTTGCTTGCAGTGGCCGCACCACGGGGCGTAGAACTCTACGAGCACGTGCTTGGTGGGGTCTAGAGCGACCGCATCAAAGGTGGCAGGTGTGAGGTCCACCACGTGAGACACGGCCACTGGCACACGCACACTCGTGCCTGCATGGGTGGGGTGTGGAGATGAGGTGATGTGGGGACGAGAGAAAATGAGAGTGTGCTTGTTGGGGTTCAGAAAAATGGCATATAAAGGTGGCTGGAGTGAGGTCGACCAGGTGTGACCAGGTGTGACCAGGTGTGACCAGGTGTGGGTTTGACACGGTGTGACACGGTGTGATCAGGTGTGACCAGGTCCGACCAGGTGTGTACAGGGGTGACCAGGTGTGCCACGGTGTCAGGCACACGCACATTTGTGCCTGCATGGAAAGAACTTTCGACATGGGATGTGGGGGGCGGCAGGCCAGCTGGCAAACTTCCGAATTGTCTCCACTCAACCAGGTGCCAAATCGGTAGGTGACAAACTCCCCTACTCAACCCGACACTTTGAAGCATACACTAAATCCGCAAACACCCACCCAGATTCGTTTCACCCATTCAGATGCGTATGATTCACGCACCCAGCTTCTCATTCACCCATGTCACCATGCTTGCAGCCTCCCTGCGCCTCTCCCCAACTCAACCTGACAAAATCCCCAGTCACCCACCCAGCGCCTTATCAGTCACGCACCCAGCTTCTCATTCACCCATGTCACCATGCTTGCAGCCTCCCTGCGCCCGTCATAGCTGGAAGGAGTGAAAGGGAGAGATAGGGGGAGGAAGACGGAGAAAAGAAGCATGTCAGGAAAGGACGGTGGGAGCACTGGAGCATTCACGAGGCACTAGGCACCGTGACGTTTCGACCAAGAGCAATCCAGAGCAATCATGCAACCATGTACCCATGCAATCATAACCATGCGACCATGTACCCATGCGACCATGTAACCATGCCACCATGTAACCATGCAATAATGTAACTATGCAATAATGCGCATGCCAGTCAGGTGCCTGAGAGAATTTAAATCGTAACGTAACAAAGCCCAAACACCCAAACCCCCTCATAGCCTCCCCCACCCCTCCCCAACCCACACACCAACCCTCCTCATTCCGCCCCTCCACGCACTCACTCGTCTGGAATGTCAGTGCCAGCGGGAAACCACTTGAGAGTGGGGTAGCCACGCACCCTGTAGTCGCTGCACATCTCCTTGTACGCGTCACAGTCCACCTGAAATAACGGGTACAAGGTGTCTGAGTCAATTTATAGTCGCTGCACATCTCCTTGTACACCTCACCTGCAATAACGGTACAAGGCTGTGGCGCCAGCTCCTTGCAGTGACCGCACCGTCACGTTTGAGTTAAAACACCTTCCATTGAACCCTCCCATATGAGACGGCTATGATCCACGGCTTCTCAAGGGCTCACCTTGGCAATCACCACCGTCTTGGTTTTCTTGAAGGCTGTGGCGAGTTTCTCGTAATCCGGAGCCAGCTTCTTGCAGTGGCCGCACCTGGCAGCACCGACAATGGGAGGAGAAAAGTCACACGCGGATTGGGAGAACAAGCGCTGCTAGCGAGCCTGAAACGGAGATTTAATGGAAGGTCGAAGGGAAGCTTCCAAGGGAAACTGAATGGAAGCAGTCGGTATACTACGGGAGGATGTGTCACATGAACAGTGTGTCAGATTATAATTGACTACGCACCATAATTGATTGTCATTCGCCGAAGCGCTAATTACCATGCTGTGACATTTGAGGCGACTCAAAAGTCGCACCAACAGCGTCAATTACCATGGTGCGTAGTATTTCACGAAAACCGCCTTCTCCGTTCCCACGAAATCGCCGAAATTGTTCGGCGTCAGCTCGACGACGTCGGACGAGTCGTCAGCGACGCTGCGCGACACAAGTGCTGCGAGAACAAGCGACAGCAGAACGCGACAAGCCATCTTTCGGCTAGCCTCGTCGAGCATCAGAATGAAGAGAAATCAATCCCCCGTTATACACGTTCAGCGGTACCAGCGGTCCGGCTAGTCAACCAAGAACTACCGTATCACAAGAGGGTCATTGGAGTAACCAGGTCCTAGTCAGTGCGTGGGTAGGGAGAAAGTGGATGGAACGCGAAGAGCCTCGATCGAGTCTTCGGGTTCAGGTGAAGGGACCGCAATCCCCATGAATGAATTCCCAACACTAGCCGCAATGTCCAACGTCGGGTATGATTCGTTTAGCTTGCAGTGCGGAAGACAAATAATTTAGGTTACCATACAGCCATAAGAAATGAACATTTGAACCAGCCAGCTATTCCCTCTCTTGCATTTGTCAATCCACCACGGACCCAGTTCACATCCATGTTGAATGGCGCAATTTCACTTCATTATAGCTCATCATTTGGTGCTCCCTTCTTTCCCTTGCCAAGGTCCTTCCACAGCTTTTCATCCTATTGCTTCCACATGTCATCATCATAACCCTCTCCCTTGCGGTGATCCACATTCTTAGCGATGTTCTCAAAGTCCTTGGCTGAAAACATCTGAGGGGAATGCATCCCAGGTGAAGAAAAGGATGCAAAGAATATGGGTAAATGAGAGATCATATAAAGAAGCACGCTGGACAGGCAGTATGGTAAAACAGGAAGCAAGAAAGCATAAATACAGGGTGGTTGGGGGAAGAGGGAGGGGGAGGGTGGGGGGGTGGTTGGGTGGGTAGGGGGGAAGAGATGGAGAAGCTATGAAGCAGCACACGAGGAGGAGAAACACAGCTATGCATGAGCCATCTTCCAGAACCAAGAGATTCTCAAAGGTGACTCACAACATGAACATGCGGAGCTAATTGAGATGGGGAGCAAAGGCACATTACATGGGAGGCATATTCACCTTGATCTTGTCACCAAAGTTTCTAGAAGCCTTCAGCTTTTCTGCACAGGCACAGACGGGGGTGAGGAGAGAACAAGAATTGGACACAGAAAAAGGCTGTGAAGACACTTCCTTATAACACCCCCCCCCCCCCTCCCCCCCATACGAACTCCTTTTTTATTCAGACCATTGCCATCGATCCAAAATCAAACAGGCATGCGGAGGAATGATAAGAAAACATAAATTAAGAAATCAACAAGCTGCTAACTCACCAGAAATCTTTTCGATTTCAGCATCCTTGGATGACGGATTACAGGAATGCCAGAACATTCTCAAAGCCTTAGACGCATCACATTTCAGCAGCACAACGCTGACTCGCCAAGAATCCTCTGGATATCCCAGAAAAGCCAGAATCTCGTACATGGCCTCTTCACAATGCCTTAGACGCCTCAACAGCACACCGCTGACTCACCCAGAATCCTCTGAATGTCAGCATCCTTGAATGACGGATCCCGGGAATGAAAGAACATTCGTAAAGCCTTAGACGCCTCATTGTTCAGCAGCACAACGATTCACCCAGAATCCTCTGTATGTCAGCATCCTTGGATGACGGGTTGTCGCCAGAGGCCGGATCAGACGAGGCGGCTTTCTTGGAAGCTTCCTTGTGCTGCCTCTGCTGCCTCTCCTCCTCTAAGAGCACGGGCAGGTGGATGGTCTCCCTCAGGTGACTCACCAGATGCTCCTTGTCCTGGATTAGGAGAAAGATCTGGAGAGTGAATAGGTGGCGGGTGAGGCAAGAGGGGATGGGGACGTAGGAAAGTTTGATACCAGCACGGGCAGGTGAATGGTCTCACTCAGGGGACTCAACAGATCGTGAGAATAGAAGAGGAATATGGATGGAGGGTGAATGGGAGGAATTATAAGGGGATGGCGAATGGCGAATCCATCATTTGCTGCTGATGGCGAATCCGCGTTATAAGGGGAATTAACTAAAGAAGTAGGTCTTCTGCAGCCGGCTAGGGATTCGCGATTCGGGTATGGCGCGCTTCAATGGGCCGCACGGGGAAATTAGCGGCTAGAGTAGGAATCAGGCTACGAGAGGATCGATCTGACGAACTTTCTGCGGACAGCAACGAGGCGAAGCGCGATGGGTCGAAGGGCGATGGAACTACGCGCGACGATATGGATTCTCTCGTGGCGATCTGGCTAAAAGCGGAAGAATAATTCGAACATTGGGAGCCGACGCGCGATGCGATTGAACGCATTGATAGGGATTCTTCCTTAGAAAGTATACGACTGAACACCATAGTTTACGGCGACTATAAGTTAACGCGTGATATTAGCTTGTCTTAGTCACGGCGACCATAGCCTGCTAGCAGAAGTATCCCCTCGCTCTTTCTATCGAAGTGTGGAGAAACCAGATGTGAATTAGTGAATTAGTACAAAAACATAAAATTGATCGAGTCTACTAATAGAGCCAACTGCTTGTAAAGCCAACTTATAGAGTCTTGTAACTACCAACATACAAGTCCTAATAGAACGTGTCACTAGCTAGCATGCAAAGCTGAGCAGCTTGGTTCTTGGGCTTGAGGCTTCAGCTTGGGTCTTGGTAGTCTTGCTTTCTCGAGTCTTCCTGACCCCTCTTGGCCGCTAGAGGCAAATGCCTCTAGCGTTACACCCGCACACCGCGATGAGGTGGAGGTCATTCGTGCGGGGACCCTGTTGGGGGGAGGGGAGGCACGGATGAAAATCTCAAAAGGAAGGGGAAGGTTAAAATTAGTAGTGTAGCAGCGGGAAACACCTCAGCTCCCCGGTTGAAGAGATGCCAGTGTCAGAAGAGTTGCCCGAACAGGCACGGAAAACGCACCTGTACCAAATTACCTGACCCCAACCCCACCCCCGCGCGCGCGGCCTAACTACACCCACCCAAACCCACCCAAACCGAATCTGCAATTGGGGAGGGGGACGGGGAGGGAGGGGAGGGGGGGTGAGGATGAAACCTCCTCCTCCAAGCTCCTCGCCGCCAGCGGCGTTGTCCACGCCAGCGTTGTTGTCCCCGCCAGCGCCGTTGTTTCCGACAGCGTTGTTGTCCCGCCAGCGTCGTTGTCCCCGCCAGCGCCGTTGGCGCAGCTCCTGAACTCAGAGAAAACACACAAAAAAAATAGTTTGTAAATGGTAAAAAATGAAGAAAGTAACTGAAACTGACACTTACCAAGAGAGAGGAGTCGTCGAAGCTTGAACTCCCGTCGCCGCCAGCCCGTAGACTCCTGCGCTAAGAGTGAAACAAAACAGAAAGTTAAAATCCGGAATTAAAAAAAAAACACGAAACTAGAATTGACAGCGTACCACGTGAATGAGAGTCGTTGCAGCCAGCGCCGTCAGCTCCCGCTCCCGCGCCGTGAGCTGCACTAAAACGGGGAAAAATGACGCGAATTGGCGAAACTTTTGTTCCTCTCAATTTTTATCAGCCCAGATTACCGTGATCGCACCGCGACGGCGTTACCCTGAATTCGATGGACCGTGTCTGCGCTCGCCCTAACGATTTTTCCGCCCTTCGATTCAAAATTTCGGGCAGCCTTGGAAATTTGCGTGGAACCACAAACAATCACGAAGACATTGTTTTACGTTCCCGGTTACGTAAAACAATGTATACGTGACTGTTTGAGATTTCACGGGAGTTCCCAGCGGCTGCCCGAAAATCGGAGAGGAGGGGCGGGAAATCGCGCGGAAAGGGCGCGCGGAAAGACGGTTTAACAAACTCAGAGAAACGCGGACGTGGAGAGGTCGCGATAGTCTGGGTCGATGAAATAAAGAGAAACAAAATTTCCGCCAATGCGCGTTATTTCGCCCTAAAACAGAGCACGAAGCACGAAGTTAGAATCTGGAAAAGAACAATACAATGAAACCGGACTTGACAGCCTACCACGTAAGATTAGTCGTTGCAGCTAGCGCCTTCAGCCCCCACTCTCGCTCCCGCCGTGAGCTGCACTGAAACAGAGCATGAAGCACGAAGTTAGAATCCGGGAAAAAAGAAACGAGGAAACCGGAATCGACAACATACCACGTGGATTAGTCGTTGCATCGTCGCCGTCAGCTCCTACTCAGCTCGAGCTGCACTAAAATAGCACGAAGCACGAAGGAAGAAGTTAGAACATGTGAGAAAAAATAGAAAACGAACACATTAGCGAAGCGAACACGGAACGAAGCGAAGCCGCCAAAGACAAGCGAGGCTTTAAAGAAGAGAATCACCAAAGTGCTTACCAGTGACAACTTGTCTTGGCGAAGCGGCAGCGACGGGAGAGGCCGTCATTGACTTGGCCAGCTTCGGCCGCCAAATGGTCTGCATAAGAAAACGGAATCAGGTTAGTACTACGCCTCAGAAAACGGCATAAAGAAAAGCGACGGGAAAGAAAAGCGATTGGAAAAGTATAGCGACGTGCTTACCAGTGACGACTTGTCTTGGCGGAGACGAGCGGCAGCGACGGCATCAGTGACGACTTGTCTTGGCGGAGCGGCAGCGACGGGACTTGTCGGCAGCAGCGTTCCAGCGGGACTTGTCTTGGAGCAACGGCGACGGCGAGCATGACGGCGACGGGCGATCGTGACTGCGTCATTGACGGTAGGAGCCTGAGTCATGACGGTAGGAGCTTCCGAGTCATGACGGTAGGAGCTTTCGAGTCAAGAAGGCCAAGAAGGCCGCCGAGAAGGCCGCCGAGATCTGGAAAAAAGAAGGCAGCATATTAGTACTTGTAAAAAAGAAAAACCGAAGTTGTAAAAGAAGCAACACTTGGAAGTGATCTACGTACCCCAACCATTGGCGACAAGCCCGTCATTGGCGACGGTCGCCATGACTGCGGCCAGCTCCGTCGTCAGGAGCAACGGCGACGGCGATCGTGAGTGCGCCATTGACTGTGTAGGAGCTTTCGAGTCAACGGTGAGCGTCAGGAGCAACGGCGACGGCGACGGCGATCGTGACTGCGACGGCGAGCGTGGCGACGATCGTGACTGCGTCATTGACGGAGCTTCCGAGTCATGACGGTCGGCAAGACGGTCGCCATGACTGTTGCCAAGATCTGAAAAAAGAAGATGGCAGCATATTAGTACTTGTAAAAAAGAAAAACCGAAGTTGCTTGAAGCAAAAGCTTTGAAGTGATTTACGTACCCTGGCGACAAGTCCGTCATTGGCGACAAGTCCGTCATTGACGACGGTCGGCGAGGCGACCTTGAATGCTTGAATGCAGCTCCTCACGGCGTAGCCACTCGCGATGCAGCTCCTCTCGCGATCTTGTGAGACGGTCGCCAATGATGTCGCCAATGAGGTCGTTAATGATGTCGTCAATGAGGTCGTTAATGATGTCGCCAGTGAGGTCGTCAATGAGGTCGTCAATGACGGTCTGAAGAGGAAAAACGCAAGCCATTAGTACTATTCAAAGAAGAAAGAAAGAAATAAAAATGACCTTTGATAAAAGTCCATAAAACGACCATTAGTACCCCAAGTTGACGGTTGGCGAACAGTTGAAGACGGTCACGACAACAGTTGGCGACGCCTTTCAGGTCCTCAAAGCGCCAAAGGCGGGAGGCGTTCTTCCGGTATGCTTGACCGCGACCCGTCCGGAGGTCGAAGCTCCTACCCGCTTCCGGCATGACTTATGTCTGAAAAGGAGATAGCAACAAAGGATTAATACAAAGAAGAAGCAATGCAACTGAGTGCTGAAGGCAACAAAAGGTCAGCGATCAGCGATCAGAGCAACACTAAGGAAGGTAACAAAAGATCGCCGCGGACAATGATTCACTTACCCGCAGCGACGCTCGCCGCGAGCCCGTGCCGGATCCTGACTTGTGATCCCGATCCGGATCCGTGACCACCTTTCGAGTCCTCGCCACTTTCATGCTTGAGCGCCTCTCAAACGGCGATGAAGCGCCTCTCGCGGCGGGGTGAGACCGGCTTCAGTTCCGTCTGTAGAATCTCGAGCTTGAAGCACTGTCCGCGTCCAGCTTGGCTTGAGTCTGAGAAAAAGAAAAAAGGCAATACTTTAGTACCACTCAAAAATAATAAAATGAAACAAAACGAAGTTGAACTAAAGTTCAGTTCGGTTTACTTACCCCAACCCAGTCCACAAGTCCGCCATTGGCGGCGGTTGGCGAACAGTTGGTGACAGGCTTGAAACCCGTCGGTTATGCTTGAGTGCTTACGTCATGACTTGCATCTGAAAAGAATAAGGCAACAGAAGATTAGTAACAAGAAAAACCATAGTTACTCAGAGGCAACCAAACGAGGAACCAGCGACAATGATCCGGCATGATTTACCTCAACAAGTTGGTGACGGTCGCCGCGAGCCGTGCCGGATCTTGACCTTCAAGTCCTCCATGTCGGATCTCAAACGACGATGAAGCGCCTCTCGCGGCGACGGTCGCTGCAAGCCGTGCCGGATCTTGACCTTCGGGTCCTTGACACTTCGGATCTCATGGGAAACTTCGAAGCTCCCGAGGCTCTTGAAGAGCAGAGACATTGCTGCGAAGAACTCGCAGCACCAGCATCTTGAGTGGTGACGGGGATGTAGCACCACCAGCGGTGACGGGGATGTCGCACCACCAGCCTGAAGCTCTTTCCGCTTGAAGCTCTTTCTACGCTTGTAGAGATAATCTTGCGGAACGTAGATCTTGCAGTGCAGATCATTATCTTGTCGCGGTGATAGGTTGCCGCGAAAATCCGTCAGCACACGGTTCAGCCCGAAACACTTGGCAGCTCACTCCTCACGACACCTAACCTACCCAACCCACCCCACACCCCTCAACGCCGCCTCATGCTTCGGGCCTCCCCGTGTGCTTCAGGTAGCTTCGGGAGCTCATTGAATTGGAGCTTTTGAAAGTCCTTCCGTGAGATTGAGAAGGAAGGAAAAAAAACGATACAAATGCAACGTCGCTAGCTTATAAGGAGCGGATGAGATGCTCGAGAGAAGTGCAAGCGGAAGGTAGGTGATGAAGCAGAAGGAAGGAAAAGCGTGCTGCTGATCAGTGGAAGCGCAGCCATTCTCAACGGCGGCGGTCGCGGTACGTCTTAGCGCCTCTTCAACCCAAAAGTGATAGGTGAATGCAGGTCGGAGTCATACAAAAAAACAGCATTTACCTGGGTGCAGTGCGGTGGGACGGGGCGCCTAAACTGTGTGGGAGGGAATTCCTGGATTCTGACACCAGGCTGGGCGCGCGGTGCGATAAAGTTCAGTGTGATGTGAATGGTTGGCTGGTGGTGGTGCAGCTGATCGAAACGGTGAAAAGGTGTGGTGGTGGGCTTGTGTCATGAGCCAATGAAATGCCGCGCGTTAGATTGCGGCAGGGGACATTCGTCGGGCGGCGCGTGGGGAACATTTCGGGGTGGCTCAAGTCTCCGCCTTATCCAGCCAGCCCAACACGGGTTGTACAGTTCATTCGTTTTACACATTCAGGATAGAAATTGGTAAATGGTTTTACTTCGTCTGCATGCAAACGCGATTGCCAAAAGCGCGTAATTCTGGTTTGGGAGGCTCGTGGAGCACACTGATGATCAGGGGGAAGGGCAGGCTCGAACTTCTAGGAGGTGGTTGACGTGGCGCTTTCTTTAGTTGGGCCATAGGGTTTTATTTTTAGCGAACGCGTGTGAGTTTTGCGTGAGGTGCGGGACGGCTTTGGTTCAGTTCTGGGAATCGTGAGGTGACGCTGAAAAGTTCAGCTGACTCGCTAAACCTGACTCGGGCAGCTGGCAAAACAATACGGGTGGATGAAATGAGATTCACGCGAGCCAATAGAAATGGTGTTTTTGCCACCATGGCACATCCACCACGGCATTATCAACAGCCCGAACCTCGAGTTGCCGAACCTGCCACACCTAACCCTCTCTCTCGCACCCGTCATTCTCCATAACGCGAAGTTCGACTTACACTCAGTGGTAGTTGCTGTCTCTCATCTAGTAAGCTGTTACCAGATCTTAGCGCGGTAGTCGACGTGGAGCGTAAGGGCATCTTCTTGCTTGGCAGCGAGTTAACATTGTGGTAAAGGTGACCCACTCTATCGGTCGTTTCTCAGTGTTAGTCGCTTCAACGCGTTTGGTAGCGTGTTAGCAGAATCAGATCTGGATACCAGACACTGCCGGTAGTCGCCCCACCGCGTCCAGATCTGTCGTTTTAATTACTTGCGGATCACGGACGGAATAGTTTCAGTCGCCCGCGGACGAATTACTCGCGTCGCTTTCAAGCGCTTCAGTAACGTAGCGCGCATCGTCGATTAGAGAGCGCGACGACGGTAGCCGGAAGCAAGACGGAAATAAGGAGGGCGGGAGGTGAGTGGCGGGGAGGAAAAGGGGAATGGACGGTGAAAGCTTTTATTCGAGGGCGGAGAGGATCCTCGGAAGGTGACAGGAGAAACCGCCATTTTCCCCTTGTTTTCACCTTTCCCTCCCCATTTCCCCCGTAATTTCCCCTTTACCCTTCCCATTTCCCCGCTACTTCCCCGCTTCTTTTTTTCTCCCTTTTCAACCCATAACCTAGCCTACAAACGTCACACGTTTTTCAGCTTCCTAACTCTCTCATAGTCCCCCCTCTGCCCTCATCTTCCCCGCTCTCCGCTCATCCTCCCCACTCTCCCCTCATCTTCCCCGCGCTCTTCCTTCCCGCCCTCCCCCCATCTTCCCCGCTTTCCGCTCATCCTCCCCGCTCCCCGCTCATCCTCCCCGCCCTCCCCCCATCTTCCCCGCTTTCCCCCCATCTTCCCCGCTTTCCGCTCATCCTCCCCGCCCTCCCCTCATCTTCCCCGCTCTCCCCTCATCCTCCCCGCGCTCCCCCCATACCTCTTCCGCCGCGCGGTTGTTGTTCTCTCCCTTCACGCCCAACCTCATCCCCCCTCAACTCGTTCCGTTCCCTCTCTTTCCCTCCCCTGTTCCCCGCTTTCCAACTCACTCCTCATCCCTTTCCCCCTCCCACACCTCAACTTCCCCCCCCGCTGATCCCTCTTCTTCCCCCCATCCACCCTTCAACCCCCTCCCATTCCCTACCACCGCCCCATCACTACCTCATCTCCCTCATCCCCCTCACTCACCCTACAACCTAACCACCCCTCATTCCCCCTGCCCGTCCCTCACCTTTCCCCCGCTCACCCCTCATCTCTCCCCACCCATTCACTCCTCATTCCCTCCCCCCCTGCGTGACAGCTTGTGTTCGCTGCATGCCATTTGATTCCGCAGCTTCCTGGTCTGGCAGGCAAGTGTGATGTGATCTGACAGCTACGGTACGTGTGCCTGTCAAGTACGCTCAGTGTGACGGCTTGTGTTCGCTGCATGCCATTTGATTCCGCAGCTTCCTGGTCTGGCAGGCAAGTGTGATGAGACGTAACTGCTACGGTACGTGTGCCTGTTAAGTACAGTATGTGCCTTCCTTTGGTATTGAAACTCTCAGCGTGACATCTTGTGTTCACTGCAGTCCTTTGATTCCGCAGCTGCCTGGTCTGGCAGGCAAGTGTGATGTGACTGCTACGGTACGTGTGCCTGTCAAGTACGGTATGTGACTTCCTTTGGTCTTGAAACACATTCTGTGTGACTGCTTGCCTTTACTGCTTATCATTTGATTCCTCAGCTGCCTGGTCTGGCAGTGCAAGTGGTTGCATTTGATGTGATATGATCTGACTGGTTGACTTGGCAGCTACAGAAACAATTCTCTGGGTTCCTCCTGGTCTGAGGCTTGGCTGCATGTGATTGGCCAGCAGCAGCAGGCCCAGTAGATTCTAATATGCAAGTTCTGATTGATTTGAGGTGTATTGCCTATTTGTATGTACCAAGTGTTTTTATTGATAAACTTTCTGGTACTGCATCAGCAACCAGCAATTCTGTATTTTGAAGTTGAGCAGTTAGCAGTTGGGCTATCATGGGCACTGGCGTGTATTGCTGAGTAAAGTACAGGCTAGTTGGGAGTTGTTCAAGGTTCCTCCCCCAATGGAGACCCCGGAAGGGCTTATTCACTGCTCTGAAGTGACGGGGAGGAACAAGACTTCTCAGAAGTTTTCAGCCAAAAAGGAGCGGGTTTGACCGTGTTTCCTCCCCTTATCGTAGGCGTAGGCCCGACTAGCGAGTATCCGAATTCAGGTGAAGGCAGCACATTTCCCTTTGACATACCCAATGCCAGCTGCAATGCCCGTTGTTCGGGAAGTTTCGATTAGGCTTATAGGCTTATTCGGGTTCTGTATGCACACTAGTTTCCTTGCAACGCGGCACTCTGTCCTCCAGTAAACAGCCAATGACATGGAGGCACATTGGTCAAACCTCCCACAAAGCCCTATCACATCCATGCTACGATTTTCCACATCAAGAATGTGCAATTCATTATAGCTCGTCATTGGGTGCCCCTTTCTTCCCCTTGCCAAGGTCCTTCCACAGCTTTTCATCGTATTGCTTCCACATGTCATCATCGTAACCCTCTCCCTTCCGGTGATCCACATTCTTCGCAAGGTTCTCAAAGTCCTTGGCCGAAAACATCTGTGGGGGATGCATCCACAAGTGACGAACAATGGGATGCAAGTAAGGCGAATAAATGAGATATCATATAAAGAACGATGTGGCGCAGGCAGGAGGACAGCATAACAGGAAGCAGGCAAGCGTTCATGGTAGGGAAGGAGGGGAAGGGGGGTTTCTGGGGGGGCCAAGAGATGGAAAAGCTCCGAAGCAGCACAAGAGGAGGAGAAACATGGCTGTACAAAAGTCAACTGTGAGAACCAAGAAATTAGAGCGAAGATACTTGAAAATCATGGGGAGCAAAGCAACACCACATGGGAAGCATAGTTACCTTGATCTTGTCACCAAAGTTTCCAGAAGCCTTCAGTTTTTCTGCAGAGGCACAGACGAGGGTGAGGAGAGAACAAGAATGAGACATGGAACAAGGCTGTATAAACACTTCGTTACGAACCTCCCCCCTTATACAAACTCCCAACTTTTATATTCAGGCCACTGCTATTGATCCAGGATCAAACAGACACGCCGAGGAATAAAAAGAAAACATATATTAAGAAATCAACAAACTGCTGACTCACCAAAATCTTCTCGATGTAAGCATCCCTGGATGACGGATCACAGGAATGCGAGAATCTTCGCTATGCCTTAAACGCCTCAGATTCAACAGCACAACGTTGACTCACCCAAAATCCTCTGGATATCAGCATCCTTGGATGACACGTCGTCGCCAGAGGACGAATCAGACGAGGCTGCTTTCTTGGAAGCTTCCTTGGGCTGCCTCTGCTGCCTCTCCTCCTCTGTGAGAACCGGCAGGTGAATGGTCTCCCTCAGACGACTCACCAGATGCTCCTTCTCCTGAGAGTAGGAGAATTAAAGAGAGGAATGGATGGGGAGTGAACGAAAGGGATGGGGAGGGAGCAAAGGTTGCTGACAGCACCGGCAGGTGAATGGTCTCTCCGAGAGGACTCACCAAATGCTCCTTGTGCAGAAATTACGAAAGGGATAAAGGGACAGAGCACAGATGAGAGAAAGGGATGAGGGAAGGGAGAGGGATGGGGAGGGAACAAAAGCTGCTGTCGGCAGCAACACGTGAGTGGCCTACCTAAGACGACTCTCTACATACCACTTCTCCTGAGATTCGAAAAGAAGGAGAGGTCGTGCGTCAGGGATGGGGGATGAGAAGCAGGGATAATGCGGAAGAAGGATGGAGGAAGTGGAAGAGCGGGCGGCAAAGGCGGCTGTCAGCAGTGGCAGGAGTATGCACTCCTAAAGCAGTCGGAGGTGCATGAGCTACTGAGGTGACTAAAAAGGAGCACAGCTCATACAGCAAGTGCGACTGAGTTGAAAAGAGACCACTGTGAGAAACGAGCAACCAATGTAGGGGGAAGAATGTGAGAAGGGGAACCAGTGTGACAACGAGTCAGAGTGAAGAGTGCAAGAGGAGCGAGTGTAATGTAAAGAGGAGTGGAGGAAGAGAGAGCGAGTGATGGGTATGAGGAGACGTACTATGCAGCCTTGACACTCCACCCCTCGTTCCTCCAGCATTCTCTGCCACACACAAACACAAACCACACACACACCAGCCACACACCAGCCACACACAAGCCACACACAAGCATCACCCAAGCGCCACACAAGCAACAACCGAGCATCGCCCACACACAATCACAGCACAAAAAGCCAACTTGAAACGGCTTTCTGTGACGAAAACGAGGCCTGACAGCAAGGCTCCGAATGAAATGCTCTGGCATACCAACGAACGTTTGGAAGATGCCAGAAGGAAAGAAAGGGCCTCTAAGATTGCGAATGCGCTCTGCCTACCACACCACTGCAATTCACCATTCCTCTCTCTCTTCCCAGTGATTTTCAAAGAGCACCGCCTTGGGTACCATGCATCTCTGAACGCACGCCGCTTTGTCCGCATGCCCGACCCTAATACGAAGCTTCGGCACAGGATTGGATAGATGAGAGATGGGCAGTTATTGCTGACGTGCGCTCGCTAACCTTGAGCTCCTTGACTCTCAGCTTCGTCAGATCCACGTCAGCACTGCCGGTTGATGCTGCTTGCTCCTCGGCTTCTAGGGGGAGAGGAGGGGCACGCGAGATTGAAAGACAAGAAAGACGAATTTTGTAAGGGGATCGGAGACGAATCGGAAGTGGGACGCACGACTGAAGGAGGTAGGTGCAGCGTCAAGCTACGAAGCCTTTTATTCAAAATTGCTTCTAACGTTAGCTATTGCGTAATCGTGCACCCTAAGGAACTCTCACTTGCTATAACAAATCGTACCAGCAGCGAGCGGCAAGATGACGAGAAGCGAGATCAGCGCGGCGAGAGCGAGGCGTCGCATGGCAACGACGAGCGACATCGCGGGCGCAAGAATAATCAGTCACTGAATGACGAATTGGAGGAAGGCAAGCCTGACTTGACACTGAAAAGAATTCGAGAATGTTCTCAAGCGAGAAGGTCGATTTGATCGAGGCAGCACCAGGCAGCAGTGGAGCGGACATCGCCACGACGCAAAACGATGCGGTGAGCGTGGATCGAACACGCGACCTTCAGATCTTCAGTCTGACGCTCTCCCAACTGAGCTATCCCCGCATGACAGCTGGCGCACGTTAAAAGCTATGGGCAATGAAAACTGCACTTCCTGAGTGTTCCTTGTTTTCCATTTGTTATGGCTCCTTACACCAAGCCTTTAGAACCGTCAATCGCGGCGCAGGTTGCGGTACTCTGCAGTTTTCCCAAAGTTGGCTTCCAGGTAGCATGCATCGCGATACGCATAGGCTGTGCCATATTTTCCCCTCGTCTCCCGCTTCCCAACACCCTCTTACTACTGTTGCGCCCTCTTCGCACGCATCTGCGCTTTCCAAATCGCCGAATTTCCATGTTTTTCCCGCTTTCCCTGTCTTCCGTGACTTTCCGCTTCGCGAATTCAGGTGCGGGACGTGCGGTGCGGGTGGGAGGATGCGGAATTCGCGGACCGGTTCACGGTGCACGTGCCGTGCGGCTGGGACAAGCTAGAATGTACGGCCACGATTCACCGTCCACCCGCACGCTTCACGCAACGCCGCCTATCACACACGTAATCACGATGATTCGAACGAGCTCGTCATGATTCTCTCTCCACCTTTTTTTCCTTCCATCACTCCGCATCCCCCACCCAATCCCGCATCCCGCACCCCCCATACCCTATGCTCCCATCTCCCCCCGCGGCAATTCCAGGGTACGTGCAGTTCAACGGCAGCCGGCCGTGGGACCCACCTGACGTCATCTTCCACTCCTCGCCTGATGGCCTCTGCTTCCAACCCCTGCTGCTCCCAGGTGAAGCCTCAGGTGCCCCCAGGTGAAGCCTCAGGTGCCCCCAGGTGAAGCCTCAGGTGCCCCCAGGTGAAGCCTCAGGTGCCCCCAGGTGAACCCTTAGGTGACCCAGGGTGAATCGTCAGGTGCTCCTAGGTGCATCCTGCATACATGCCATCGTGCATGCCTGGCAGCACGATCACTCCTACTGCACCTCATCTTACCTCGCACCTCTCATGCGTGTGGGGTGCAGGAGGCACGGGCAATGACGGCAGCAGCTGGGGGCTGTTGAAGGACTGGCAGCACAACGACTCCTACCGCTTATTGCGCCTCCTGCTGCACCTCAGGTGACCTTCCAGTCTTACTTTGAGTTACCGTTTTGAACCCTTTTGATTCAAAACTCATTGGAACCCATCTGAACGGGTTTGAACCCATCTTTGCAAATATTACCCTCTTATTGAATCTCTGGTGTTTTCGTTCTAACCTTGATTATCTTTCCTCCGCTCACACTACCTCTTATACTATCCTCCCTCCCATTCCTTCCCCCGCCCTCCAATCTCCGCGCACTCCCCTCCCGCGTCCCCCCCTTCCTGCCCCATCGCAGGGCGCTGTTCCTACAGCAGCAGCGGCAGCAGGCAGAGGCAGTGGAGGATGGGCGGGTGAAGTTCGAGCTCAGCACGCTGGCGCAGCAGGTGCGGCAGGGGTGGGGCAAGGGTGGGGCAGACAGGCACGCGGGCGGGTGGGTGTGGTGTGGGGGGAGAGGGTGGGAGATGGGGGGCGGAGGCAGGCAGGTGTCACAGGTCACAGGGCTGAGAGAGAGGCAGTGGAGGATGGGCGGGTGAAGTTCGAACTCAGCACTCTGGCACAGCAGGTGAGAGGGGGAGGGGGGGGTGTGGTGGGGGTGAAGGGGGGCTGGGCAAGGGGAAGGGGGAAGGGGGAGGCAGGCAGATGGCACAGGTTACAGGGCAAGGAGACAGTGGAGGATGGGTGGGTGAAGATCGAGCTCAGCACACTGGCACAGCAGGTGAGAGCTCAGCACACTGGCACAGCAGGTGAGAGCTCAGCACACTGGCACAGCAGGTGAGAGCTCAGCACACTGGCACAGCAGGTGAGAGCTCAGCACACTGGCACAGCAGGTGGGGCAGGCGGGTGGGTGCGGGGGGAGAGGGTGGGGGAAAAGGGGGTTCTGGCAGGCAGGTGTCCCAGGTCACAGGGCTGGGTGGTAGTGGAGGATGGACGGGTGAAGTTCTAGCTTAGCACGCTGGCACAGCAGTTGAGAGGGGGAGGGGGGGGCATTGGGGGTGAAGGGGTGGCGGGAAAGGGGAAGGGGGAAGGGGGAGGCAGGCAGATGGCACAGGTTACAGGGCAAGGAGACAGTGCAGGATGGGTGGGTCATGGTGAGAGGTCAGCATGCTGGCGCAGCAGTTGTGAAAGGAGGGGAGGCAGGCGGTCAGGCAGTGGGCAGTGGTAATGCGGCTGGATTAAAGGTAGCGTTGGTGCAGCAGGGGAGGGAATAAGTGACAGGCAAAGGAAACAAAACCGGATGAAAGGAGGGGCCGAATAGAGCTTCTGAGTAAGACATGTTGAAAGTCTCGATTTGTGTTTTTGTTTTGCAACCCCTCTTTCATGACTTTCTCCTCACTTTATCTCTCTCCCCTCCTCTCTCCGTTTGCTCCCTCTTCTTTCGCCCCCCACTCTCGTTCCCCTCCCTTTCCTGTCCGTCAGGAGTTTGAGGTCTATGCCCCTCTCACTGCAGGCAAGGTCCGTTTCTGACTCCTTACTCTCAACACACTGTTCCCCATTAACCATAATCCCATGCCTACACCTATTTTCCGTGCATTTTATCCACTTACCATGCGTAACGTAAGAGATCTGTGTGCAGACGTTAGGAACCACACCTGACCCCACCCGCCTCATCGCACCCTGGCCCTACACGTTTTTTGCCTTACGTTCCCACACACATGTCTTGCCGCTCCTGCAGTCGACCCCAGAGGAGCTGCAGCTCGCAGTGCCAGTGTTGGAAATCGATCTCCGACCTCTCACAAACTTCAGGTGTGTCTCTTTCTAGAACCTGGCCCTCCCTTGACAATGCTCTCGTGTGAAAATCCTCAACATATCACAAGTGCAACGGGAAGTGCCGGTGCTGGGATTCGATCTCCGCCCCTTCACTCACTTAAGGTGTGTCTCTGTGTCGACCTTCATCCTGAGCATCCCGTTACAATGCATAGAAGATCCTGCAGTGCTCTCTTGTGAAAATCCTCGGCATATCTCCCCCCATGCCTTCTCTCATGCCTTCTCTCACTCCCTGTGCATCAGGTGGTGGTCTGATTGGCTCAAGCGCTGTGGTAACGAGCTCTGAGAGGTCTCACAACTCGTGTGAAAATCCTCGGCGTATTGCAAGTGCATGCCTCGCTCTCACTCCCCATGCATCAGGTGGTGGTCGGATCGGCTCAAGCGCTCTGGCAGCGACCTTTTACTTTAGCCCCCCTTCCCTCCATCCCTCCATCCCTCCATCCCTCCATCCCTCCATCCCTCCATCCCTCCATCCCTCCATCCCTCCATCCCTCCATCACTCCTTTCCTCCTCATCTCACTCCCCTCCTTCCCCCCTCCTCCCTCCCCTCCCCATGCATCAGGTGGTGGTCGGATTGGCTCAAGCGCTCTGGCAGCGACCTTCACCTCAGGCTGCTGGTGGGTGTTTTGAGCGGTGCAGGGGGGTGTTGATGGGTGTTGGGGGGTGCTGATGGGTTCCGGGGGCTGCTCGGGCAACCTTCACCTCAGGCTGCTGGTGGTCGGCGGGGTGCATGGGGGGGTGTTTGGGTGGAGCCTGGAGGATAGGATAATGGGTGGTGAATGGTGGGTGGTAGAGGTGAAGGGTGGATAGTGAATGGTGTGTGGTGTGACAGATGGCGTGAGCCTGCATCACTCTCCCAGCACCCTCACACTGCCCTGCCTTCACTGCCCTGCCTGCACACCCACTGTTTCATTCTCCCGCATCACGCCAACAGATGAAGTTCCCCATCTCAGGGAGCAGCAGCAGCGCCAATGGCAAGGCCTCCACACCTCAGGTGAGTGAGTGAGTGAGTGGTTAATTGAGTGAGTGAGGGAGGGGGTTTAGTGAATGAGTGAGTGAGTTGCCTGATGCAAGCTGTGTGACATCCTCTCATATATGCATTACAACCACTTCCTCCTCTCTCCTCTCCTCTCGTTCCTCTGATCTTTCCCCACGCCCCACCGCCCTCCCTTCTCTCCCTCGTTCGCAGTTAAAGCTAGGAGGCCCTTCGCTCCTCCTCTCCCTCTTAGGTTTTCCAGAGACCAAGCTGCCTGTCTGGACAGACACCATGTGAGTGACTGTTGTGTGTCATTGTGACAAGGTAACCGTTGTGAGGTGACTTCTTGCATGTCGCCTCTCTGTTTTTTTAGAGTCCAAGCTGCCTGTCTGGACAGACACCATGTGAGTGACTGTTGTGTGTCATTGTGACAAGGTAACCGTTGTGAGGTGACTTCTTGCATGTCGCCTCTCTGTTTTTTTAGAGTCCAAGCTGCCTGTCTGGACAGACACCATGTGAGTGACTGTTGTGTGTCATTGTGACAAGGTAACCGTTGTGAGGTGACTTCTTGCATGTCGCCTCTCTGTTTTTTTAGAGTCCAAGCTGCCTGTCTGGACTGACACCATGTGAGACACTGTCGTGTTGTAGCAAGGTGGAATTGCAACAAGTGTCGTTGTAAGGGGGGTGCGTTTGAGTCAACACATGAGTCACCTCCTTGGTTTTCCAGACACCAAGCTGCCTGCCTGGACTGACTTTATGTGAGAAGCACGCTGCTATGATGGCTCAATGATACCTCTATGGTTTCTCTAATTTGGTTTCTAGACATCCACTGGGTCGTCGTTTCTTACATCTGTCTCTTCCTGCCATGGCATGTATTGCTTGCTTCTCCCTGTGCTTCTAGCACATGCTTGCTCTGCTCATTTTCCAGTTTTGTTCCAATGGCACCGCACATATTCGCACCACACCGCGTTTCACACCTTCCTGCAGGTGTACAGTTGCATATCTGCCTGAGCTTGCTGCTTTCATCCATCAGCGAGTGAGTCACTCCGCACTCCATCTCTCTTCACCACACTCCACCCCCCGTCCATGTTTTTTTCATTTTTTAGGAAAAGGCTATTAGAATATGCAGGCTGGATAACGGATACATTCTTTTTTCAAAATAAGAAAATCCATTGGTTTGAATCTGACCAGCTGAAATGCATCGTTTCTCAACAATTGCACAGAAAAGTGCGGTGAGTGTGGATCGAACACGCGACCTTCAGATCTTCAGTCTGACGCTCTCCCAACTGAGCTATCCCCGCATGTGTGCTAACTATCAGCACCACCAAGTGTCATTTGTTTTTCTTTCTGTCTTTCTGTCCCTCTGCCACGTCAGCTGGATAGTGCAGTCTCTTCCATGCAAAGCCGGGCGGACTTTATTTCTGCTCTGCCCGCGGTATTCGGGCAACCTTTAGAAACTGACACGGTGAGTGCCTCTCTTGCCATAGATAAAAACATCCTTGCATGAGAGAGCACAGAACCTTCACCACTGCCTGCCCTGTTCCCCCTCATCCCCTTCCCCCTCAATCATTCCCCTCAGTCGTTCGCCTCGTTCCCTTTCCCCCCATCCCCCCTTTCCTCTGTTGATCCCCTCGCCTCATCTGCTCTTCCCTCTGCAGCAACAATTCTCTCAAACCACGCTCTTTGTATCAGCCAACAGCTGCATGTGCCTGGTGCGTGCCCCTCCCACCACCTGCATCCCTTAACCCTGCATCTGCCTCCCACCCGCTAGTCCCAATGCACGTATTGCTGCACCCATTCTCCCAGACCACGCTCTTTGTATCAGCCAACAGCTTGCATGTGCCTGGTGCGTGCTGCCCCCACTCCCTGCATGTGCCTGCCACGTGCCCCTCACACCACCTGCATGCGCCTGCCACGTGCCCCTCACACCACCTGCATGCGCCTGCCACGTGCTGCTACTGCTCTCAATGAATTCTTGTTTCACCCATGCTCTCTCACACTCCCTGCTGCATTCCATTGTAGCAAGCAGCCATGCCTTTTGTGTTGCGGGAAGCTCGTTTTTCTTTCAACCCAGTCACCTCCCTTTCTTCATATCCTTTTTCTGTCCCTGTCGCTCTCTGCATCCCTCTATCTACCCTCATCCCTCACTCTTCGTCCCTCTCAGCCTTCATGCCTCTCACCCTCCATCCCTCTCACCCCACGCCGCAGGTCCGCATTGCCCTGCCGCCATCCTTCCCACAGCAGCAGCCCTCCGTCACTCTGCAATCCATTCATGTAAGAAAAGCAACCCATTTAGGTAAGCAAAATTAGGCCATTCAGGTAAGCAAAACAAGCTATCTATATAACAACAGCAATCCATTAATGTAACCAAAGCAATCCATTCATGTAAACAAAACAGTACACCCGCCTTTAACACCCCCCCACCCCCTCCCTCCCTCCTCCCCCCCCCCCCCCACACCGCACACCGCAGCACTTCACCGCACACAACCGCCCCGTGGCATCAGAGCCAATCAGCAGCTTCCCTTGGAGCCCCCGGTGGTCCCCTGCTCAGATGGCGCAGCGCCTCAGGTGAGTGGAGTGGGAGTGAGTGTATGCTTGTGATTGGTGCTTAGGGAATCATTAGTGAATGTTTATTACAATGTAACTGGTGCCGTGCTTCCCTTGAGGCCCCCAATGGTCCCTTGCTCGGATAGCACAGCGCGTTAGGTGAGTGGAGATGGGGGGATGTGCTTGGTGGGTGCCTAGTGTTGACTGCATTTTCCTGTGCTCATTGTCTTTCATTGCGATGGATGTACTCAAAGGACTTGCTCTCTTCCCTCTCTGCCTGCTCCTCCTGCCCTCATCGCTTCCTCTGCAGCTCGTTCCTGGAAGATGAAACAGTTGCTTTCAAGCGCTTCTGTATTGATGTCTCCAGAGAAGCTGCTTCAGCCAGAGCTTGATGTTCTTTTTGGAACCATGCGTTTTTAGGTGGGTTTTGCACAGCAACGCTCAATAGTGGATCGATGTCACTTGGCTGTTTGAAAAGGGTACAAAGACCTCACAACTTCCTGAATTAGCTGCCCAACACCATATCAGACTAGTACTCTGGCGAGTACAGCTGCGGAGCCTCCTGTGTGGAGACAGGCGCGGTGACATTGCCATAATCATGGATGCAGTTGAAGCGCCAGGAGTTGTCGGGTGCCGTAGGTTTCCCTTGGGGAACCACTCCCCCAGCTCCAAGCAATGTGTGAGAGCACAATGCACGTGAAGGTGGATTGGTATCAATTTGCCGTTTAAAAAAAGTACAAAGGCCTACCTCGTAAGGAAAAGCCAACCAACCAAGCCGTTCCAAAACAGCCCAGCACATGCATATCAGGCTAGTACTTTGGCGAGTACAGCTGCGGCGCCTCCTGTGTGGAAACAGGCGCGGTGACATTGCCGTACTCGTGGATGCGGTTGAAGCGCCAGTAGTTGTCCGGCAGGTCCCCCCCGGGGAACCACTCCCCCAGCTCTGCGAATTTCTGCGCCACTTCCGACACGGCAAAGTAGTTGATGGGGAACTGGTCGCTCGTCAGCACCCCCTCCGTCTGCCTGGGAATGCGCTTGTACTGGTAGAGCAGGCAAAGGGAGCATTCACACGAGGAATGTAGAGCAGGCAAAGGGAGAGCATGCAAGGGGAGAGCAGATAAGGCAAAGTAGTTGATGGGGAACTGGTCGCTCGTCAACACGCCCTCCGTCTGCCCGGGAATGCGCTTGTACTATAGCGAGAGACGGAGGCAAAGGAGGAGAGAAGACATGAGGGAGACGGGAAGTGGGGAGATGGGAGGTGGGGGTAAAGGAAGGTGGGGAAAAGGAAGGTGGGGAAGAGGGAGGTAGGGAAAAGGGAGGGTGGAGGGGGAGGGAGAATTGCGGGAACTCAAACGAGCACACGGCACTCACCAGGAGGAAGGCGAGAATCCTCGCAATGACAGCATCCTCTGGCAGGTTGACGGCCTCGGAATACACCCGCCCCAGCACAATACGGTGGCGCGTCTCCTTGTCGTCCTTGGTGACAAACACGTCGTACATCCACCCGCCGCTGATCAAACTCTATCCACACACTGCAGGCTCCAACCAACGAAAACAAAGGCCCCACCAGCACCAGGGACTCACCAGGAGGAAGGCGAGAATCCTGGCAATCACAGCATCCTCAGGCAAGTTGACCGCTTCCGAATACACCCTCCCGAGAACAATGCGGTGGCGTGTCTCCTTGTCGTCCTTGGTGACAAACACGTCGTACATCCACCCGCCGTTGGTCTTGATCTTGGCGTCCAGGGTCAGGTCGAACTCTATGACTTCCCCTGATGGCGCTTTCTCGGTCACTTGCACCACCCGCGCTGCTGACGCCTCCTGCTCTGCTGCTGCCGCTGCCAGCTCCTCAGCTGTCTGTGACTTTGACTGATTAGGGGAGGGGAGGGAAACAGGCGCACGGCAAGAGCAGTGAGAGAGGAGCAGGGACACGGGCAGGCAAGGGTTACTGGAAGGACAGGGGAAGGGGGAAGAGGAGAGAGGGGAGCGGGATGCATGGCGTCTTTAAAGATTGAAGGGAATGAGAACTGGGCGCAAGGGAGGCAGATGATGGACAGGATTCGAGTAGCCCAGGCCACGCAAATGCGAGGATGCGGGTGTTCACTGAGTGAGAGTGTAAGTGGGGGCACAGGTGGGCGGGTGAAGACGAGTGTGAGTGAGTGAGTGGGTGAAGACGAGTGTGAGTGAGTGAGTGGGTGAAGACGAGTGTGAGTGAGTGAGTGGGTGAGGGCGAGTGTGAGAGAGCGAGTGGGTGAGGGAGAGTGTGAGTGAGCGAGCGGGTGAGGGCGATCGTGAGTGAGCGAGCGGGTAAGATTGAGTGAATGAGTGAGTGCGAGCGAGGAGGCATACCGGCAGCACGTCGCACTTGCCCTCCTCAATGAGCTTCGGGTCATACTCCATCTGCAGGCAGGCAGAACAGACAAGAACAGGCATTGACAGTCAATGAACAATGAACTCAGTGTTGAACAAACGAGTACTTCTCTTCACGTCCCTTAGTGACTCCTCCCAGTAACTGATAATGCTCTGCCTGGCAGGCGAAGGGCTTCTTGTCTTTTCACCCGTCGTGTCTGTTGATATTGCCGTTTTTGCACCACAACAATGTATTTTCCTCCGCGATGTCACAAAACCCCGCCCATGTGAAGCGCTTCAACACCCCCAAGTACGTTCACTCTCTATCTCTCGTAACATTAATCGCAAGTCTAGCATCCAGCAACCCTTGCAGCACTGCACCACACAGCACCACTGCACAAAGTTCTTCTCATGCTGCTGTCCACTGCCGACTCGCTTCGTTCCCAAGCCCTCCTCTTTCCCACACTGAGAACACCCCTCTTCCCTAAGCAGCTAGCACCGAATTCCGTTACGAATGACAGCGCAAACACCCTCGTTAGGGTCACATTCGACTCGACTCACCTCCTCCTTGAGGCCGCGGTCCACCATCATCTGCAACACCGCCTTCGCCTTGGACTGCGCCGCCGCCACCTTGCCTCACGTACCACCCCGTCATTATGATCACACCCACAACACATACACCCTCGGTACAGCCACATTCGATTCAACGCACCTCCTCCTTGAGGCCACGGTCCACCATCATCTGCAGCAGCGTCTTCGCCTTGGACTGCGCCGCCGCCACCTTGCCTCTCTCCGAGATCGACCCCGCGTCCGCCGGCCGCTCCCAGTACCCCCTCTGCACGGGGTCCGTGTTTCCGAAGGGCGGAATCCCCATCTCCGAGAACCACTGTATCGTTTGAGAAGAGTTAGAAGAAAGTAGAGATAACGGAGAGCACAATATAAGGGGTTATTCCGTGCAAAATCGCCCTTTGAACCCTCTAGAATCGACCCCGCGTCCGCCGGTCGCTCCCGGTACCCCCTCTGCACGGGGTCCGTGTTGCCGACGGGCGGAATTCCCATCTCCGAGAACCACTGTGGCACGCAGTAAGGTCGAAAAAGGTTAAGAATTGAAAGAGCTGGATATAGAAGGAAATTTCGTGCACTTTAGCCGATTGTTGGGAAATAAGGGAACTACGAAACTGGGTGAAATATGGAGAAAACAAGGCTGTACAAACCCGTGAATCTCACTGACATCAGCAGAACCCTGACCGTCGAATGGATGCTCGCTCCCATAATGACCCGCTATGAAAATCTCCACTAACCGTACCTGCGCGCGGATGTCAATCATCTGCTGCTGGTCCATGGTCGACAGGTTGTACAGCTTGTAGTAGTAGCAGAGCTCGGGGCGCCGCCCCATCAGCGTTCGCAGCGAGTTTCGCACGTCCTTGGAGAACCCGATATACTGCACCTTCTTGTTCTTATCGAGTACAGCGAACACGGACGCCGTGGTTCCGGGTTCGACGGGAGGGACTATGCGGCCTTGCTGATTGATGTAACTCAGTAGCGGGAGTTCGTTCAGCGACGGGAGTTTCGCGGAACCCCCCGACGCGACGACCACGGCGCGAGATGCGGAGCGGGAATTGCGGCTGGATTGGCTTTTAGCGAGTGTGATTCTAACGCCTTGGAAGGCGGAAGAAGCGGATTTAGAGACGAAATTTGATCCGAGGTGGACGCGAGGGGACGCCACGTGGCAGGCCGCGGTAGGCCTGGACGAGGCATTGCGTGCTGACGCAATTTGAGAGACTGAGCTGGCAGCAACTGCTGCTCGTTGAGCGACGGACGCCATGGTTACAGCAGCGAAGCTACGACGCAATCAGTCAAGCAAACGTCCTGGATAAGCAAACGAAAAGCCACAGCAATGCGGCTGCTTCGCGTTGCTGTTGCACGCAAAATGCTCTCGTTTTGCAAAGAATGAGTGAAACAGAAAGCAACGATACTGGATACACCAAGCTCTTGACTATCTGTCCTTCCACTCCCCCTTCCCCTTCTGCTTCTCACTTGCTCGCGCTGTTATCCGCTTGGCTCGGCTCGCGGCGAATCCGATGCCTGGGTCTGGGGAGCTGCACCTTGGGTTTGGTAACGCAATCACGGCTTGCTGATGTGGACGCCTCGAGAAAATGGTCAGGGGCTGATGTGGCAGGAAATGGTATTTCGAGATAGCATACACCCGGTAATCAACACTTGTTGAAACACGCAACACTCGAAGTTGCCTTACTACGATCAGGATTTTTAGCAGAAGATAACTACATTTCTAGATTATAGAAGTAACATACCTGCATCTAACCCAGGAACATGCCATTGTGGACCCCTAAATAGGCCTACAAAGGCAAAAAAAAAAAAACTATTTATTTAGTCACAGCTAAAGAACAGCCATGGCTCATCCCTAGCTGCTGGTCACTACAAGCTATTGCCCACCTAAAACCACTTAGCCAAAGGGTGGGCGGTGGAGATCTAGCATACCAGAGGTCAGTTTGTGTCAGCATGGTACCATGCCTTCATGTCACAACCCGGCCGGAGCGGCATCAAAAGGCGGCTTGCATGAGGGGATCCTGAGCTGTGATGCTGATGTCACCGTAGGGCTCTGTCTGCTGCACTTGAATGTAGTCCCTCGTCTTCAGCACCTGGTGCATCAAGGTTCGGCACAGGGTTTACACAGTACAGGGTTTAGCCCATATGGGATGAAGGGAAGTTTAGGGTTCAGGCTAAGCATGAGAGCAGAGATAGGGCACTGGACAGGCGGACCTTAGAAACGTGCCTAGAATGAAACCATAACAGCTCATGCAAGAGCCCACTCGCCTACGCCATGCACTCACGAGGGTCTCAAAGAACATCCGAGCAGCTTCGCGTCTCGGCCGTCCCTTCACCACTGCTAGCAGCGACACCGACGGCTGCGATCGCGCCGAATCCACCCCCCCTGATTCCTCCGTCCCCACTGCCCCCCCTCCGCCTGCCCCTGCTGCTCCCCCCCTTGTATCGCCCGCCAGTGCCTGCTGCTCTGCCAGAGCAGCCAGCGAGTGCTGCAGAAACTTGGCGGCTCCTCTGAGGTGGATGTGGCGCAAGGGGGGGCATGGGAAGGGAGGGGTTAGCAGGGAGGGAAGTAATGACAGGGAGGGTAGCGAATGTCCCCATATGCCTGATCGATTCACATCCCACCTTCACCTTGAACTCAAGATTTAAAGACCTCCTTGAGCCCCCAACACCCCTTATTAGCCTCACAACAACCCCCTCAACTTCCCCACTTCCTCGCCCTTCCCCACCGCTGCCCACCTGGTGCGCCAGCTCCAGCTGGAGAAGTCATCTGTGGGCCGTCATGTCATGTCATGCACAATGAGTATCCAAACCCCTCACTTCCCACCGTCCACTCTTCCCCCACCGCCCATCCCCACACCTCCCCACCGCAGCCCACCTGGTGCGCCAGCTCCAGCTGGAGAAGTCATCTGTGGGCCCCTCTGCTGCTGCTGCCGGCTTGCGCTTGCCTGATCCCAACGCGTCAAACTCGTCCGCCTCTGCAGGTGAGGGGGGAGGGTATGGGGAGGGTGCTAAGGCGTGCGAAGGAGGTATAAGTGTGGATAGAAGTCATCAGAGGGCCCCTCTGCTGCCGCTGCCTTGCGCTTGCCTGATGATCCCAACGCGTCAAACTCGTCCGCCTCTGCAGGTGGGGGGGTAGGTGGGTGGATGGTAGGGCGTTGAGAGGGAGGTATGAGAGTGGATAGGAGATTCACACACACCCACACCCAATCACCACAGGTCAACCTGTTTCCACCTCTCAACATCGCTCACAACCTCTCACCACACCTCACCACCACTCACCACCGCTCACCTTTGTCGCCTCCATCTCTAAGGAAGTAGAAGCTCTCTTCCGACACATGCAGCTGCCAACCAACACGGCATCGGGGTGAAATGGAAAGAAACGACGGAGGATGCGTTAAGCTGGAAACTAAAGACGGAAAGAGGGAATGCAGATGCAAGCAAAGGGACAGCTCGGAACTCTAACCCTTGAACAATCACTGGCAACAACAAAGACAACCCACTTCTAGAGAATCACTCACTGCTGCTAAGGTAGCCTCTCTACCCCTCCCCTCTGCATCCGCCTTCCTCCCCCTCTCCTCTGCCACTGCCTCTCCTCTGCTCCCCTCCCGTTCCTCCTCCGATGCCCCCTCTTCAGGTCCCTCCATGTGCCCAGCATCCGCAGGAGGAAAGTAAGGCTCCGTGGACGGAGTCATGCCAGCAGCAGGGAAGCGCTCAGCAGCATCGGTGTCTGCTGCATGGCCATCAACCGCTGCCTCTACCCCTCCTGCTCCCTCCGCTGCTGCCTCTGCCGCTGCTTGCCCCTCTTCACTTGCAGCAGCAGGAGAGAGAGGAGCGACGGGGGAGAGAGGAGCAGCAGGAGAGCCAGGGGTGAAGGGCGTGGGGGGCACGGCAGGCATACCCTCCAACCCACCAGCAGCGCTATCCGGGGTAGTGTGAGGGCGCAGCACCCAACCCGCCCCCTCTTCTCCACCCGGAGCAACCTGAGCAGGAGTGCCTGATGTAGCACCTGACGTAGCACCTGCAGCAGCACCTGTAGCAGCAGCGGCAGCGTCTGTAGCAGTCTCAGTGCCAGCTTCTCTCCCATCCATCTGCCCCCTACCCACCTCCACTTCCTCCACCTCCTCCCTCCCCTCCTCCACTTCTTCCCTCGCCACCCCTACTTCCTCTTCCCTCCCCATCCCTGCCTCCTCTTCCCTCCCCACACCTGCTTCCATTCCCTCTCTTTCCACTCCTCCACCCATGGGCATAGCTTCCCCTTCCTCCCCTTCCACCTCCTCTCCCCCTCTTCTCCTCTCCACCCCCATCCCCTCCCCCTCCTCCCTGCCCCGCTTCCTCCCCGTCCCCCTTTCTCCAGGCCTCCTCGGCAAGCTCGGCGGAGCCTCGGAGAAAAACCGAGCCAGAAACGACCCCAGACCTACCCCTTCCTCCGCGTCTGCAACAGCACCGCCAGCAGCACCATCAGCTGTAGCTGACACTCCCGCTTCGCTCCCTCCCGCCACACCGCGTGCAAACCCATCTGCTGCAAACGCAAAGGCCACCCCATCACGCACCACACCATCTGTTATCCCTGCTACACCCCCTGCTACATCCCCCGCTACAGCCGCAGCAACAGCCTGCGCTACAGCCGGCTCATGCAGCCCCTCCACGCCCGCCACGGACCAATGCAGCGCTGCCAGCTGGACGGGGGTGTGCGGGGCCCTGCGACGCTTCCTCACAAGGTCGTCCGGCGATATGAGCTGCTGGCGTATGGTTCTGTTGGGGGAGGGAGAGGGGGGGGGAGGAGCAAGGGGAAAGGGGGGAGAGAGGGTGGGGCAGGGAACAGACGCAGCAGGTAAGTACAGGCGCTTCCTCACAAGGTCGTCTGGGGAGATTAGCGAGGGGAGAGGGTGACGGAGAATTAGCGAGGGGGGGGGGAAGTGGGCACTCTCAGATTGTGCAACAGCCAACTATCGTTTCGTCAAATGACTTGCTCATATGGCAGTAAAGTAACGGCAGTAGAGGGCAGGCGAGGGAAGAGGAGGAGCGCAGAGGAGAACGGAGGAGAAAGGCAGAGGAGGGGAGGCAGAGGAGGGGAGGCAGAGGAGGGGAGGCAGAGGATGGAAGAGCGTACTCAGAGGGCAGAACAGTGAGCGAGTCTAACACTGTCCCGGCACCATCCCCCGCTGCTGCTGCTCCTCGCTTCCTCTTCGCCTGCCCTCGCCTCGGCGGCCTTGGAGGCAGCCCCGTCCGCGCCTCGTCCGCAGGCTCGGGAGCCTCAGCAGGCTCGGCAGCTGCAGCGTGGTGTTCAGGCCCGGCCCGGTCCTCCTCGTGCGCAGGTGCGGGTGCAGGTGTGGGTGTGGGCGTGGGTGCGAGGGCAAAGTCTGGTGTGGGGATGGCTGAGGGTGGTGGGTAGAGAGAAGGAAGGCATGGGGGAAATGAAAAGAAGTGAACATTTTGCTAGCAAGTAGTCTCAATACCAGAAACACTCCAATACCAATACCAGTAATAGCAAGAAGTGAGCGTCACACCCTCTCACGCATCCCCCGCCCTGCCCACACAGCCCCCCTCACTCCCCCGAATGCCTCACCTGGAATGCCCACAGAGGGCGTGGCGAACCCCACAGACCCGCCAGGGGTAACCATCTGGCCTATGCACCCCGCCTCCGCTGCAGCGCCTCAGACACCCCCCTACCCCCAACCCCTACGAACACCCCACCTTCCCGCCGCTGTCTCACCTGGAATGCCTACGGATGGCGTGGCAAACCCCATGGACCCGCCAGGGGTAACCATCTGGCCTATGCACCCCGCCTCCGCTGAAGCGCCTCAGACACCCCCCTAACCCCAACCCCTACAAACCCCCCTCGATTCCCCCAATGGCTCACCTGGAATGCCCACAGAGGGCGTGGCGAACCCCATAGACCCGCCAGGGGTACCCATCCCGTCCACGCGCCCCGTGTCCGCTCCCTCCCCATCCACCCGTCTCCCCTCCCCTTCCTCCACCACATGAGCCCGTGGTGTGCCCGGAACAGACCCCTTCCCGTCGCCCGCTCTTGCAGCGGCAGCAGCTTCAGAAGCTTCTAGGCTGCGAGCTGCATGGTCAGCAGGCACGGCTTCTGCTCGCATCACCTCCACTTCCGGTACCTCCTCGCCTTCTTCCGCTGCCCCTCCCGCCCCAGCCTCTGCCCCTGCCCCTCCCTCTGCTCCTTCCTCTGCCCCCACCGCGGCTTCTTCTCCTGTCCCTGCTTCCCCTGCTTCCCCGGCTTCCCGTCCCGCTGCTGCTTCCCCTCTTTCTCCTGCCGCCCCTGCTGCTTCCGCCTCCCGCTTCTCAATCCCCTCCTGTTCTAATTCCACCGGCTGTGTCGCCTCCACTGGCTCCTCCCCCACCGCTCCTCGCCCCTCTCCACCCATCCCCACGTCCCCCACACCCATCCCCAACCCATCGCCACCCATCTCCATCCCCGCGCCAAACCCCATGTCCAGATCCATGGGCTCCATGAGCCCTGCCTCAGGCTCATATCCCTCCAAAACCGCTTCAGCCTCAAACACACCCCCTTCTTCCCCCACTCGCCCGCCCTCCGCCATCCCTCCCTCCTCCGCCACACCCTCCCCTGCTCCTCCTCTCGCCCTCTCCTCTGCCACCTCCTCCGCCTCCCTCCCACCCTCATCCGCTCCCTCCTTCCCTGCCTCTCGTCCCTCTCGTCTGTCTTGCACCACGTCACGGGGAAGCCATGGCTCGCCGTCCTCGTCGCCCTCTTCCACCAGCCGCATCACTGCACCCTCCTCCACCACCGCGAATTGCTCTGCTCACAGAGGGGACAGGGCGGGCACAGTCAAGAGGTGGAACTATGACAACTGTGATCCAAACGCTAACCGCATTGCATGCCTCCATAGAACCGCTGCACCCATACGTTCCCATGCGCCCAAGCCACCCCCACGCACCGTCCAGGCAATACTGCGACCCAAACGCGTAGCTATCGTGCATGCACACATCCACCACCCACCACCCACAACGCACCATCGAGGCGGTACTGCGAGCCAAAGGCGTAGCCATCATCAACGGGTGGTGGCTCCGGCAGAGTGATTTGCTCGCGTGTGGTGAGACTCTTGTCCACCGCCCTGCCACCCCCCACACCCACGACACACACAACAGAAGAAGTCAGCACAGGTTGACTTTTGAGTCGCCTCAAAGGTCACATCGACAGGTGGTAGCTCAGGCAGAGTGACCTGCTCTCGCGTGGTGAGACTCTTGTCCACCGCCCTGCCACGCACGCAACCACAAAAGAAAGAAAAGCCCCCAGGTGGCGAAAGAAAGCAGTGGTAGTGAAAGGCAGAAACGAAAGCAGACGGTTCAGAAAGCAGTGATGCTGGAATTACACTTCCCTGCCTCTCCCTGTCTCACCCGGGTTGCAGCTCAAACGCCCCATCGGGCAGCGCAAGCAGCTCCTCCAGCTAAAAAGTGCTTCGGGAATGTGATGGCGTGGAACGGCGCTCACATGCACACTCGCCTGACCCACTTGCTCGTGCATGTCGCTCACTTACACATTTCCCTAAACCCACTTGCTCTTGACCCTCACACCACGCCCCCCATCTCACCCGGGCTGCAGCTCGAACACCCCATCAGGCAGTGCAAGCAGCTCCTCGAGCTCGAAGTGCTCCGGCAGGGTGATGGCATGGAACGACGCTGTTGCTGCCTCGGGGGGCAGGTCCACTGCTGCTCGCGCCAACACCTGGCGGGGAGGGGAGGGGAGGGGCGGGGCGGAGAGAGTGGAAATACGTTTGGCCTCTTTACACTGACTGCTGAGTTGGCTCAAAGTACCAACGCGGTGATGATTGCATGAGTAAAAAAACGTATTACAGTGTGTAAGTGTACAGGTGTATACCTGTTTCATGCGCAGCACCGCATCGGAGCAATCCGCGTACAGGTAGCCCACCTGGTGGAGCAACGGGCGAGGGACGGACAACGAGGGAACGAGGTTACGTTACAAGGTTACACAGCTCAAAATGCGGCATGTAGGGTTCAGTGCGCACGCAAAGCTCAAGTACCAAGAATCCATCAAGAGAGGGATACCTTCCGAGAGTATATGCGCACGACGCCGAGCAGCAGATGTCCCGACAGTCGCAGCGCGATGGGGACCTCGGGGTGAAGAATGGTGTCTGGGGGAGGGAAAGCGGGGCGGGAAACGGTGTTCAATGTGTTACAGTTATCAGTACTGGGATTACACGTCAAACGACTGTGAACCGACTAAGAAAATCAGCCTAAGACAGCTGATCAGACCTTTCAGCATAAAAACCAAGGAGACAGAACAAGCGACAGTCTCGTAACGAAAGAAATAACTCGAGCATTGAAGCGCATATACGCTTTAAAGCCAGTGACCCGAGCTGCTAATGTCTCTCACCGACGGTCTGAGGTATGTCGGTTTCGAATATTTGATTCTTCCGCAGCTTGCGCTCCAGATGCGCCGCTATCCATATCGGGCCGAGCGCGCCCTTCTTCGACAAAAAGAGCTGCGAAAAGAACATCGCGACGACGACGACGGCGACAGCGACGAAGGTAACGCGACGACGGCGACGGCGACAACTACGGCGGCGACAGCGATGAAGGTAACGCTTACGGCGACGAAGTTAACTAAGAACGGCTCCTCAACAGCGTGAGGGACACGAGGATCGCGGCAACGACGACGACGCGACTGCGTCGGACATGGGCTACAGACTATGGAGGACACATCAGCTGACGTCAGCGACAAGGTCGAGGAGAGCGAGAGACGGCAACAGCTATGGAGAAAATGCAGCGATCGGACGACGTGAGCAGGGACCAGGGCGCGGACGGGAAGGAAGACGAACGCAGCTTGTAATAACAGAAGACGGCCTGAACTAAAAACCGTTGTCTGACCGCGAACCGAACACGAGCAGTCAAAGTTAATGTATACTAGTATCTAAATTAAGACAACCACCTAGCCGTCAGCTCATCGCCACGCCAACCTCCTAGCAATACGCAACTTGTGTGCTTAGGAAAAGCGGAAATGCTGAAATAGCTCAAACGACTCTCCATTACCCTTTCTCACGAGCGCTCTTCGTGCGAATGGTGCCTTCTGCAAACCCAACCCAACCCTAGCGCAGCTGTGCAGAAGGAAAAGTTCCGCCCCACTTGTGGTGGTGAGGTGACTGTCTTGCGCTTGACGTATGCTGGGTAGAGCGAGCGCGCGCGGGAGGGCTGCGGGTCTCATCTCATCCACCGTGTTTGATTGGCGCTCGTCTGCTTGACGCCATCTTGCTGCAGCGGACTGGCTGGTGTGCGGAGGAATATCGGCGGTGCGCAGCGCAGTGCATGAATTCTTCTGCGGCGTACGTGTGCGCATTACGAACTGCGCCCTGCATGGGGTGCAGTGGGTGGCTTGCGCGAGGTCCTCCGCCGACCACGTAGCCACAACCAGAATTGGAGTTTCAAATGGGTTGTACGCGTTTGTAATAAACCTGATCAGTGAAACGTAAATGCTATAAAAATGTCTCGGAATAAACGACCTCCTATCCTATACAGTATCATAAAGCTCGCTTCCCTTCAAGCTGCTTTTCGTGGCCGATATTGCTGCGTGATTGGCTCTTGTTGCCCACCCTACATTCGGAAACGTCCGAGTTTTCACCATCCGCCGCCACTTGCCGCGGCGCAACAACCCTTGCTTTGTTTGTTGAGCGAGCAACTCAGTGCCGCTAGGCTTTATCTTGACCAGCCGCCTCAACTCCTATTGCGTGCTAGGAGCAAACTGGTCTGCTGTTCTCACTCTTCCTGATCCTCGTTCTGTTTTGGTAGCTTTCTCGTCCTTCATTCTCGCAGCTTGATCTATTACCCGTTGATGACGAGGGAGGCTCCGTGAAGCAGCGACTCGGGTTCATTCTACATTACGTCTCATGACTCGCGGATCCAACATTATTACGGTCGGCTACGCCTTTTTAAGATCATTTAGAGACAGCGATACAGAATGTCTGTTCCATCTTTAATAGTCGCCATTATTTGAGTTCGCGGAATTCTCACCAGCCGCTATGATGGCACCTATAACTTACTTGGGATCGTCGACGAACTCAGCCTTCCTTAGTCGTCGTCGATTAAGCTGCTGTAGGAACAATCGCCGTAAGAACAGCGCAGCGCTGTCGCTAAAACATGCTCCTTCGCTAAGTCGGGCAGGAGCGCATCCGTGTCCTCAACTGCTCATGTCGCGACTGATTATGTTGCAAGTGCTTCTATTACTTCTTACTGGACTGTTAGTTCCCAACGCGGTTCACGCCAACGGCGACTTTAAATACCGGGGAGCGAAGGCGGCTGGCGGGAACGGAGTATCGGCGTATAAAGCGGGTCCGCTTCAAGAGGCCCCCGTTCCGTTAACTCTCCTGCCAGACAATCCGTTCGGCGCGAAATGCCTCGACGGCAGGTATTACAAAGCTAAATTCAACTAACAGCATTACTCACTCGTTGCCTGGTCTTCGATTGTGCTGTGTCTCGATTAACAAACAATAAGCGCCTATTTCTGTGGAACAAAAGACGTCGTCGAAGCGGACTTTACCGCTTATTTTTTCCCCTTCTCTTCACACCCTCTCGCTTTCCCGGAACTTTCCTCTCGAGTTTTCCGCCAACCCTTTCCCCTCCCCCTTTCCCCGGTGCTACCTGCGTTCCGTCACTACGCCTCTTCTGCGTTCTGGCGGAATGCAGGTAGCACCAGCTCCTCAACCCCCCTCCCACTCTTCCCCGCTCCCTTTTGCATGCCCTCTCTCCCTCCCCGTCCCTCTCCTCCCCCCTCCCTGGCCCCCCCACCCAGTCCCCCCGGGTACTACCTGCGGCGCGCGCGCCCGTCGCAGAGCCGCTTCTGGCACATCCACCTGCCGGGCGGCGGGTGGTGCACCACCGAGGCGACCTGCGCGTGGCGCGCGGGGAGAAAGTTCGGGTCGTCGCGCCTGTGGCCCAGGGCAATGATTGTGCGTCTATTGAAGGGGAATGAGGGTGCCGCATGTTGAAAGGGATTTGTATATGCGTGTACTCAAGGGGAAATCGGGGGTGGGGTTACGTGGTGTGGGGCCAGGGACACAGGGCGAGGCCATTTCCGAGACAAATCAAGGAATCTCCCACTATTCCCTCTCCCATCCCATACCTCAGCCCGCGTGGCTGCCAGGCATCATGAGTGCAGTCCCGGACGTGAACCCTGGCTTCGGCGAGTGGAACTGGCCGTGGCCGTGCGGGGTATTATAATCAGCAGAGTGGTTGCTCCAAAGCCAATTTAATCAATCTCTCTTTCTCACCTCTCCCTTCTGCCAGCCCGCATGGCTGCCGGGCATCATGAGCGCGGACCCGGATGTGAACCCCGGCTTTGGCGAGTGGAACATGGCCATGGCTGTGACCTTTGAGAATTCTCAAAAGTCGCACTATGGCCGTGTGCTGCGATGGGGCCGGGTATGTGGGGCGCGTGGGGTCTCAGAATCAGTGTGAGGTTACTCCAGAGCCAGCTGACTCCATCTCCCACTATTCCCTCTCCCATACCTCAGTCCGCATGGCTGCCGGGCATCATGAGTGCAGACCCGGATGTGAACCCCGGGTTCGGCGAGTGGAACATGGCGATGGCTGTGTACTGCGATGGGGGCGGGTATGTGGGGCGACGGGGCGAGGTGACTACAGCGGACAACACAACGCTCCACATGGATGGATGGAAGATTGTCATGGCCATTCTCGATGGTACGTTTGGGGGTGTGCGTGTGGGTGTGTGTGTGCGTGTGCGTGTGTGTGTGTGTGTGTGTGTGTGTGTGTGCATGTGTGTGTGTGTGCGTGTGTAGCCCCCCAACCCCCCCTTCCTCGCCTACTGTAACGGGCAACACAACACTCCACATGGATGGATGGAAGATTGTTATGGCCATTCTCGATGGTGCGTGCATTCTTCCACTCCACCTCTCTCCACCCCTCCCCTTGTTCCTTCCCCACCCTTCTTTGGAGCATCGGTCGTTTCAGTCCTTTAGGCATGTGCTTGCTTGTCGTTTCCACACTACCTCCCTCTTTTGAACACTCACACACATTCATCCGGGCAAACACACTCGTACCTCCTCCTTCCCCTATCCAACCACACACACTTACACAGACACACGCACACGCACACACACACACACACACGCGCGCGCCTCCTCCACCCTCCCCCCATCCAATCACACTCTCTCGCCCCAGACCTCTCATCTAAAGGGCTCATGGCAGCTCAGCAGGTGCTAATAACGGGAGAGTCAGCCGGGGGGCAGGCAGTCGTGAACCTGTGTGACTATATCGCAGCCTACCTCTCCTTCGCCACGGTCAAATGCCTCTCTGACGGGGGCTTCTTTATTGGTGCGTAACATAGCATGTATGGTGTATCAGGTTCACACCCCACTCATACGCGCTCTCCTAAATCGCAGCCTATTTCTCCTTCGCCTCTGTCAAATGCCTTTCTGACGGAGGCGTTTTCATTGGTGCGTACGTGAGACACGCATGCATCGCACCCATGCACCCCCCACCACCTATAATACGTTCACATCACTCATGCAACACCATCAACACAACCCTCCTCGGTCCACGCTCCTCTTCTCCTTGCCCTTCCCCTTCCCCTTCCCCTTCCCCTTCCCCTTCCCCTTCCCCTTCCCCTTCCCCTTCCCCTTCCCCTTCCCCTTCCCCTTCCCCTTCTCAAATTTCGCCCCCCTTAACCGTCACAGCACTTCTCAGTCAACGCTAGTACACTTGTATTGTTGCACTTGTGGTGTCATATGATTCTATCTTGATCGGTGCTTCACCTGTGTCATTCATCCATGCCACTCACCTGTGTCATTCATCCATGCCACTCACCTGTGTCATTCATCCATGCCACTCACCTGTGTCATTCATCCATGCCACTCACCTGTCTGTGTCAATCATCCATCTGCCTCCCCACCTGCCCGCTTGCCATCAGACGCGCCTGACAGGAGGGGGCGTTCCTTCTTCCGAGAGATTGCAGAGAATGCGACACAGTTACACCAGATGTTCAACCCCAAGTGCAACCAGGGTGAGGGCCTTTTCAGATGAAGCAAAGATCAAGGCTTCTACACCAGTTGTTCAATCGTAGATGCAGCCAGAGTGAGGGTCACTCTTTGTGAGACATTGCAGAGATCATACAAAGATCAGGGCCTGTGCACCGGATGTTCAATTCTTCGCATAATTGTTCTCTAAAACTCCTTCCCTCCCCTCCAAAACCTTTCCTCCCCTTCTCCCGCCCCTCTGTTTCCCGGTTCCCTCCGCTCTGCAGATCTTCCTAGTCAAGCCCAGTGGCGCTGCTTCTTCCCACAGTACTCGCTCGCGTATGTCACGTCCGATATATTCATCCTCAACACACTCTTTGACCCCATAACGCTCATGATTGGGGGCCAGCTGCCCTGGGGCCATGAGCACGCCAAGGAGTGTCTGTTTAGTCTCCGATGGGGTGCATCAGGTGGGGGAGGAGGGGGCTTGAGTGGCGGAGCGGGTTTTTGGACAGGAGGTGCTGGGATGGGGGGAGGAGGGGAGGGGGGGAGGCTTGGGGGAGGGAGGGGAGGTTTGAGGGGGGCGAGTGACGGAGAGACAACAAAGCCAAAGATGCTGGGTGGTGATGGTGGAGCTGTGTTCACAAGTGTTGGCATGGCTGAGAGTGATTACAATGAAGCGTTTTTGGGAAGTGGTTATAGTGAAGCTGGTTCAGGTGGCGTCAATGTAGCGGTTAGCAGTGGGAGCAGTGAAGGGACCAGTGGTGACAGTTGTGTTGTTGCTAATAGTATCACTGGTGATCAGGCTGGGAGTAGGCCTGTCAGCAGCTTTGGTGCCGGTCAAAGCAAGAACGGCTACAATGCCAAGGTGCAGCAGCAGGTGCAGGAACGGAATCAAATGCAGCAGCCACTGCAGGAGAAGCAAAGAGGGAAACAGCAGCAGCAACAGCAGCAGCAGGGCTGTCGACCTGAAGAGCGCACTGCAGTGCTGAACCATGGCTCCATAGTGACCACCTCCCTGCAGGAATACGCCAATGATCCACATGACAATATCAGAGTGTTCTTACTGAATGCCTATGCACATGGGATTGGCGGCACCAGCTATTGGACCTCGTTTACATCTGATTGGATGCTGATGCCACTGAATATTGCAGTAGCTAACTGGTTTGACGGATCAAGATAGTGAAGTTCCACAGTACTTTTCTGCTCTTGTAAATTATTCATTGTCAAAACCTAATCAGAAAGGATGTTTCGTGAAAACTGTGCCGGTATTACTATGTGGAGGATGAAACGTTCTTGTAGGCCGCATTGTTCCTCGCTCCACAGGCAGTGTCGTCCTGGGAGCGGGAGTCAGGAATCAGGATTCAGCAACATCTGAAATGGACAGGTTCGTTGGACTCTCCAACAGACCATCCAGTCTGGACCTGTGTCCGAAAATGAACCACATTCCGAAACGGCATTCCCCGGAGCACCGCCCCACGTGAACTATCTTCCAATACCTTCCCCAAGTGGCATTTTATCCTTCTGCGATTCGTCGAGCTTATGCTGCTCCTGACGCGCACCTTCTGTGGGCTTAGGGCTGTATGTTGAACCGTCGCGTCCAAGTTGGCTCGAACAAGCGTCCCTTTTAGAACACGTCGCTGTACGAGCGACGAGGATTTTTCTAGCGAAGGCTCATGGAGTGGACACTATTATTTTTCTATTAAAAATCCAGTTCCTGGACAGCTCGAGGCCAAGAAACGGCAGACATTTCCTTCTAGAACCACCAGATGTGTGAAGTACAGTAGTAGGCAGGTCTGTCGTCCGTGAACGTACACGTCGTTCGACAGCATGTCGGTCCAGGATATGAGCACATCACGTGACGAGACAGCACGTCGGGAACATGTATCACGCAAGTCGCACACATGTAGCTTGCGGCTTTGAATCACGAGTAGGTGCCGTTTTCTGCATTTTGCAGCTGAGCAGGTCGACAAAACGTCGATTTTGCTTTTCCGCATGTTATCTGTTACTTACACGTATTGGTTGCCCTAATGAAACGGACAAGGTACTTACTCCCCAGTACCCTTTGAGTCGACTCAAAAGCCACTCAGCGCTTCGGAGCATTGCGCTCAACAAACAGGCCGGATTAATACTCCTTGGCTCTTCATGTCCCGACTCTTTCGTCGTAGCCCGCAACGGCTACGATCTGATCAATTGGAGCGTCCGCCTTCGGTATCATAACCAATTTAATTCTTTTGCTGCTCCTCGAAGCGGTAGCAGCGTAGAAGCATGAACCAGCATAACCGCTCGACTGCTCCTTTATGCCTATATGAAGCGTAAGTCCTTGCGTCGCACTGACAGTCGAGCTCCGTAGGAGGATAGCCATAATAATAAGCCATCTGCACAGAGCTCACGTTGTCTTAGTGTTGAGTACTGCGTGCTGTGTCAAGTTGCGAGCAGTAAACAATCTCACCTTTTCTCCATCTCCTTGCTCTGATCGTCATCCCAATATGCAATCCTCGCCGTGCGTTCTCCTTCTTCCAAGCGGAGCAGCTCGACTCTACTGGGACCGTGTGACGGTACGACAGGTTCAGCACGATTACCCCGAGTTCGTTGTCTGTATGGATTCGGATCCCGTCAATCCCCTTCAACCAGGTGCTGTTATTGAGCCTGGAAGCACCTGTTTTCTGGTTCCGTCCTCTCAAAGAGTCCGTTCATCGTCGCGACGACCTGGCGCATCTGCAACACATCAATCAGCCAACAATGAGGCGTTTTTCACAACACTATGGAGGGCGAGTTCCACGGATTACCTGGAGCGGCCAGGAATGACAGGATATGTCCGAACGGAGAACACAACTGGAATATTGCTGCTTTCTGAAAGACGTGCCAGGTCTCTGGACAAAAGAAGGGAGCCAACGAGGAGCAGATCGAGGGCCACTGAAATGTCCAATTTGTTTCCAAATAATCGCACCTACAGCGGAAAATAGCTACATGAAAAAAGTTGTCAGCCATGTAGATCTGTAGCTGGTTACCATAGGAATATATTCTGTTTCAGGACTTCTTTGACCAGAATCCTCTGTAGGCCACTTGTATGTACATACCGTCAATTTCAGACAATAATGCTGCATGGCATTTATTTAGTATAACATGTATACAATAATATAGGCAGCTATTGCTGCTATTCTCCTATCCCTATTTGCATGTGGCATCCTGATTGGCCTGCATGCATCAGATTCGGATATAAAAATCCACCCTTTCAAAACCACTTCCGCCGACGTTTTGGCATGAGCCCTCGATATCCCGAGGGCACAATCAACCGCAATTCGAGCATCTCCTTGCACAATCTCAACACATCCCTCCCTCCGCTTCCCTTCCAACCAGCCACACCCCCTTTCTCCCCACCTTCCCCCACACTGCTTTCAATCATCCCAGTCAGCTGTCCTACAACCCGAGCGCTAGCCTCCACGTGGCGCTCATCTAGTGGCCGGCTCCACAGGAGCACAACCAGCTGGCGCTTGCGTTGGCGCGATGACGTGGCAATTCCCCATTGGCGAAAGAGCTCGAGGCGGTGGTGGAGTGTGAAGCAATGGGCCATTCGCTGGGCTAGGTACTCCCTCTCCTTCCTGAGCTCCCTCTCCCTGATGTACCCACCATGACAGAATGACACGGAGCCATGGGGATAGACAGAGGAGGGTGGTGGAAGTGGGTGCGGAGGAAGAAGAGAAAAAATGAATACACGCCATCAGCACAGAGCAGAAAACATACAGGCAGCAAGGTAGAAAGTGGATGAGACAGCGAGGAACTCAACTTCCATTGGCACTCACTGTAGTTTGATGCATATCATTCACGCCTTTGTTCCATGCCAGTCACCCAGGGAGGGAAGGGGCTTACCTGGCTGCCTTTTCCTCTTTCCCCACGTGCTGCACCAGCCACTGCAGCCGGCGCCTCTCCACCTGCAGGAACACCCGATCCGACGGCTCTCCTTGCATCAGCACGAGGAACAGCTGCGTGCGTCGGATGAGCGACACCTGGCAGCGGTCCCACAGCACGACAGTCTCTCTCATCTCCTCCCTGAAGTCTGCTTCACAGCGTGGCGTCAATAGGGAGGGACGAGGATGATGCAGATGGGGAAGAGCGTTGCCAGTTGTTGATGATTCAATGCATGCTGCTCCAGAAGCCGTTCTGCTCCACTGCCCCCTCCCTCCTCTTCTGCTCGCCACCCTTACCCCCTGTGCTCTCCCCATCCCTCTATCCTCCTCCTCGCTGCCCCAACCTCTGTCCCCCGCTCCCACTCCCTCTCCCTCCTCCTCCTCATCCTCCTCCTCCTCCTCCTCCTCCTCCTCCTCCTCCTCGCCCAGTCTACCCGCCTCCAGCTCAACCACCTGCTTCACGAGCAGCTGCTTCTGGTAGTGCAGCTTCGCTACAATCTCCTTCAGTTCAAGCACGTACGTGCGGATGCTCGCCACGTTCACCTCGGCTGCCGACTGAAACAGAAACTCCATCCGCTGGAGGTCCTGGAAGGAGGAGAGGGTCAGGCCAGAGGGGTCTGCCAGGCACCCCATGTCAAACCCCATCCCTGCAACCCCGACGTCAGCAGCAGCCTGAAGCTCCCGCACTCCCTCCGCAGCAGCCTTTCCAGTGGAATCATCATGCTCACCAGCAGCAGAAGTAGCTGCTGCAGGAGCAGCAGCAGCAGCTGAAGCTCCATTGCTGCGTCTCTCCGCGTCCTTCTCATCTCTCACTGTGATCCTCGAGTGCTCTAAATGCAGCTGGAGCAAGCTGGCAGGTTGAAGCACCTCTGATACTGAACCAACCCCTTCGTCCCCATCCTTGCTCGCACCACCAGCAGCAGCCCCATTGCTTGCGGCCCCCACTGCAGTGCCACCACCAGTGGCAGTAGCAGTGCCTGCAGCAGTGGCAACCGTGCCACCAGCAAGGGCAGCAGCGCCACCAGCAGCGGACAAGCACCCCGACACAGGCTGGGAGGCGAGGGAGGGCGTGAGAAGACCAGACAGCTGGTGAGAGAGCGGGGTGAGGAGACCAGACGCGTAGCAGGAGGAGATGTTGGAGGAGGGGGTGAGCAGCCCAGATACACAGTGGTACGGGGACGTCAGAATCCCAGAAAGGTGGCTAAGAGGCGTTTGCACGCCACCCTCAGACAAGCTCTCGCTCTCCTGCCCCTGCCCTTGCCCCTGCCCCTGCCCCTGCCCCTGCCCCTGCCCCTGCCCCTGCCTGTTCCCCTGCGCCCTGCCGTTCTGCCGGGCTCTCATGCGCTCCATCTCCCCCTGCAGCGCGCCCATGGCGCGCCCCACGTCGTCCCCCAGGGCGTCCTGCAGCTTCTCCAGCCGCTGGATCTCCTGCATCAGCGCCAGCACCTTGGCACTCACCGCCTTGCGCCGCCGCCGCCTCTCCCGAGCCCTGTCCCCCGCCACCCACGCTTCCAGCGACTGGAGAGAATGAACTGACTGCAGGGACTGGCGGGACTGGCGGGACACGCTCTCTCTGCCAAACGAGTCTCCCGCGTCCCTTCCTAGCCTCCTGCTCCTTCTCCCCTGGCTCATTTCTCGCTCGCCGAGTTCCTCTCCTTCGTACTGGTCCGAGTGGCGTTCTCTCTCCCTCCCTCTCCCGTGCTCCTCCCATGTCATACGTCCCCTTGCTGCACGCGCCTGCTGCTCTCCTACCCTCCCGCTCACCCCCATGGCCGCTTCACCAGCCTCGCCTCTCTCCCTCCTCCCGCCCATGCTGCTGCTGCTGCTGGCAAATCTCGACTTGGAAATCCCACGGGTGTGACCACCGTCCCCTGGAGCATCGCAGCCACTGTTACTAGAGGACAACCATCTGCCGCCCACAACCAGCCCACCTGCCAGCTGAGCCACCCCTTCCCCTGGCGCTGCCTTCCCATCCATCACCCCCTGTGTATGCATCCCGTTCGCCTCGGGTGCTAGAAATGCAGCAGGAGGAGACGCAGCAGCAGCAACAGCAGCGGCGGCAGCGGCGGCAGTGGAGGGATGAAAGGAGGCGTCTTTCTCCCTCTGCTGCTTGCTGGGTCTGGGTCGCCTGGTGAAGCTACCAGGGAAGCACGTGGGAAGGAGATCCAACGGCTTGGATGCCGGGAAGCAGGTTGGCGTGAAGCGATCCCAGCCGTCCGCCTCGTCGTCAGATGATTCTGAGACGTTGATGCTGGAGATTGGGTGAACCTGCAGGGAAATAGGGGAGAGTGCAGTGGGGAAGCGTGCAAAGGGAAAGAGTTTAGAGAGAAGAAGTGCCAAGTCAGCACAGTTACAATAAATCACTCTTGATATCCACCTCACGCCCCATGCTCTCACTCAAATAAGTGCCCACCGTTCTGACCCACACCCCCATTTCTCCAAAAAGCTCTCACATCTTGCAACATCCGGGTGAACCCTAGGCGGGTGGCAGCAGGTGAGAGCGTGTGAGTGGGAGAGAGAGGAGCGTACCTTGCCGCTCTGCCAGGCTGCGTGTGCCCGTCGCCTGCCATGGGACCCGCCTTGGGAGCGGCTGTGGCAGGAGGAGGCAGCGGAGAGCGCGTGTGTGAGGTGCTGCACCTGCGCCAGTGCCTCGCTCTGCTGCCTCGCTGCCTGTGATAGCTGCGCCTCCAACTGACGTGTTGTGCAGGGGGAGGGAGGGAGGGGTAAGGAAAGGGAGGTGGAATGGAAGGTGGTGGCAAGGAAGAAAAAGGTGGAAGCAGACTAAGAGAGGCGGCTGGCAGGCACGCCCCCGTTCCTCCTCATTCCCCTTCCTATCTCTCCCCCTTCCCACTCCCATTGTTCCACCTCCCATTCCTCCAAACGCCCCCCTGACCACCCGCTGCACGCCTCTCTCACCCCACGCACCTGCTGCACGCGCACAGCCTGCTGGTGGAACTGCTCTCTTGATGGCCGCAGCCTCATCTCGCCCTCCAGCCGCGCCACCTCCCTCTGCAGCTGCTCCACCAGCGCTCGATCTGTTACCACCTGGTGCGATCATCACAGCGAGGCCGATCAGGGAGGACAATAGGGGGGACATGGGTTGAGAAAGCTGAATAGATGGCGGCGGAACAAACTGCAAATATAGATGTTCTTGACGTGCCATATATTGCATGCTCCTCGACTCATGTACCTTATACACACACATACACACACCGTACACCCACACACACACCGTGCTCCCACACACACACCGTTCTCCCACACACACACACTGCGATGTTGGCGGCCACTCACCACGTTGACACAGGCCGAGTTGGTGACCTCCTTGGCCCTCAATGCAAACGCGAGGGTGTTGCGCGTCTGGTCCAGGTGGGTCCTGCCGGCGCTGATGGTGGTGATGATGGCCGTGCGCCCGTTGCCCCCCAGCGACTGCTTGCCAAGCAGCCCCATTCACAACACACCCACTCACCACCACCTTCACACCCACGGGTTCCAGTCAACTCAAAAGGTCACGCACTCACCACGTTGACACACGCTGAGTTGGTGACCTCCTTGGCCCTCAGCGCGAACGCAAGGGTGTTGCGCGTCTGGTCCAGGTGCGTCCTCCCCGCGCTGATGGTGGTGATGATGGCGGTGCGCCCGTTGCCCCCCAGCGACTGCTGCAGGATGCGCGTGAGCTTGGAGTCCCGGTAGGGGATGTGCCCCGCCTTGGCCCTGCTGCCCGTGCTCAGCTTGCGGATCACGGTGGCGAGCGTGAGCAGGCTTCTGTTGATGTGGCACCCCTCCTTGAGGCGTGTGCCCGCCACGTGCGTCTGGGACGCCCTCTCGCTGCCCGCCAGGTCCACAAAGTTCTGCCCCAGCCACGTGGCATAATTGGATTGGGAGGGACCAAGCATCGGAGGGGGGTGGGACAGATAAGGGGTAACGGAAAGAATGGGGGGAGGCAGTAAAACACAATTATAACACTTTGTATAAGAGGGGGTGGAAAGGCAGGGGACGAGGGCTAGGAGAGGGTGGGGGATGGGGGAGGGAGAGGGTGGGGGATGGGGGAGGGAAGGGAAGATGCACTCAAGAAGCGATGGCGAGCTGAGTTATTGTGGCATGAGATGGCAAGCAATGCCAAAACGGCATCACTGAATCAGATTTCATACACACAAGACAGAAGGCAGCCTCCTCCGGCCACAAGCAGCGTAAGAACTCTCATCACTCACCAGCGTGGCGGAGAGCGTTTGGGCGGCAGCAGCATCTGCTGGCACAGATGTGGGCGGAGGCGGCGGTGGAGGTGGTGCCGCTGGTGATATTGCACTGGGACAGCTCTCCACCAGCTGCGACAAACAATGAGAAAAAAAATGATGAAGTGAAATGTGAGGAGAGAGACAGGGAGGTAAGGGGGGAAGGGATGACAGCCCTAGTTGTGGGTGGAGGCATCGCGAGGGTAACTGAAGGATTGCACGCATGCACTCGTTCAACACACAAACTTGCTTCCCACTGACCACACACACCACACCCTCCACACACACTTCACACACAGCACACTCACCAGGCGAATGATCTGGTGCGATCTGGAGCTGGCATCGTTGAGGGACGTCTCGCCCACCTCTCTGTGCGCCGCACACTGCGCCAGCAGCTGCTGCAACTCCCCCTTGGACTCCACGCCCACCTCCGTCAGTCGCTCCACCACCGTGCCTCTCTGCGTGCAAGCGATGGTGGAAGCAATGCGGAAGAGGAACGTTTTACTCGGTCACTTCAGCCTGCGGCTGCTGCAGCCGTGAGATTGCCAGGAAAATTCAGGCATTATAGGATTGTGGAGTGCATGGTTACCTCGGGATCATCGAGGAGCCTGAGCGGCCCGGAGTCAGGGTTGAGGAGGTCCCTGACAATCTCGTTGTAGATCTCAATGGCTGACAGCTTCACCAGGAAGCTGCGATGCGGGCTCTGCTCAGACATGCACAAAGCGCATCCATCCATACATACAGACACACACAGCTGACAATGTGAATGTCTGCGCTGACAAATGGCATTGTTAATCTCCACGAAAGTCAACTGATGACAGTGATGTCCATGATTACATTTAGCATTGCGAAATTGGAGAGCGAAAAAAAAACGACATTCTGAAAGTGCACAAACAGAGCCAACTTCGTCAGTGTCCAAGAAATAAAACTGGAATTGGCAGCGTTCATGAACGAATCTGCCTTTGTGAACATCCATGACGAAAACTGACATTGTGATGCCCGTGAAGACTAACGTTGATGATAACATGAAGATAACTGACTTTGTGAATCTCTGATGTTTACTGACTGACGCTGTCAATGTTCATGAAGACAATTGAGAGGAATGTGAACCTCCACGAATTCAGCTGATATTGTGTGTTTTCACGAAACTGACATTGAAGATCCCTATGAAGAATGTGCATGATAGACATTGTGAATGTCAGGGAACGTCCTTGGAAACACGTGACAGAATCAATGTCTTTGAGAAAAAAATGACATTGTGAGTGCCCGTGACAATAATTGACACCGTCAATGCCTGTGAGAAACTGCGGCATTGGGAAAGACTGTCAAAATCAACTCACACTTCGAATGTGCGTGAAGATGTCGCAAGCAGCAAGATCAGTAATAGCTTCCATGGTGTAAGTCTTCCCACTGCTTGTCATGCCATACGCAAAGATCGAAGCTGGCGCCACAGAAAGAGCAGCAACACAGGAAACAGAGACCGTTTAACAATGAATGCTCCTCATGATCATGCGCCCAGATTGGACAGATGAATTCACCAGACCGTAATACGAATGCGACAAGGCAAACAACACACCGTTGATCCCGGAGAGCGCTGACAGCACAATGTTCTTGGCTCCTTCCTCGTAGACCCGATCCGATGGACACGCGGGACCGAACGCACGGTCTGCAGGCATGACAAGGGTAAGCGTTCAGACTGCATTGTGCTATCCTAAGTACATTCCGAAAGTGCCTTTCAAAGAACCACTACACGCGTGCTGCTTGTTCAAAGAGGACGATCGTGTGCAATCTGGAAGTGAACAGTCTTGAAAGAGAGAAGATTGAAGGATACAAGCGCTTACCGAAGGTGTAAGCAGCCGGGTACGGCGACCGTTCGGGAAGCGGCTCCAGGAAATGGAGCGTGTTGGGTTCCTGAATCCGCCACACTACCCTATCCCCGCTCGCCGCCTCCTTCCTATTCAACGGTCGCACGCGGACCGACACGAAAATCTTTTCCGACGTGGCTTTGAGCCCGACCCTCGCCCGAGACACGGGTGCGACGATAGCCGGCTTAGCGTCAACTAGCACTGGCGAAAGGGTCGCTTTCATGGTGTCGGGGGGGATGCTGTCCGGCGCTTGGCTAGAATCAGGCTCCATCCTCTCGTCAGGTCGCGTATCGTGACCGAGCTTCCATCGCCTATTAGACAACTCTACTTTCCGGAATCTATCCAATTGAGACTCCTCGGATTTCACTGCCTGGCTGCTGAAAATGGCTCGACTAGGAGTCCTTTCGACGTCAGTGAGCTCGGATTGGTCCGGAATATCTAGACTTCCACACGAGGATAGGCTCATTTGGCAGATGTCAGAATCGTCCATTGCGAAACTAAACGGCATCCGAGTATGATGCTTGGTGAGCTGACATCGATGGATCTGCCGAAAAGGTCGATTGCAAACTGTCGCGGGTCTTGCATTGTCGTCGCACCAGACGTGAACGAGATGCTAAGCACTCTACGGAATGTCATCGCATGGCTCGAGAGATAGACGGAGTTGAATTGTTTTACGACAGCGTCATGAACAGGATGTCAAGTGACTCATGGTGAAAGTCAGTCTCCGAAATCAGGACTACTTTTGTTACGTGTGGCCACACGTAACGAGAACATGTTCTAAGACTCCAGAACGAGAACATGTTCTAAGAAAGCGAGCATCGCGTTGCGAAATGTTGAGACGGCCGTTAGCTTTACGAACCGCGCCCGAGAGATGGCAGGCTATGAGCGAACTCGAGGCACCCTTTGCATGACCACGTGGTTTTTTTGCCTCACTTTATTTCGCTGAAAATTATTCTGCGAAAACGACCATGGTATGTGGCTGGAGCATCCATGCAGACCGATCGGGAATGGGGACGGCTTCCCATGGCGGCAGACTTGAGAAATAAGCATCAAAATAGCATCCGCCATGGTTTCCATGCATAGTTCCCAACCATCCATTCATGTCAACCGACAAGCCAGCATGCACTGAGGAGGTACTTTAGTACGGTATACCGCATTCAAATACGTCACAGTACGATACTGAAGTCGAAATTGGTGACATAGCGACGGCGAGGAACAAAATCCGCCCCTTCCGCCACTAACTGGCATCCAGGACGAGGAGCATCCCGCTTCCGCCCATGCGGAGATGGTTCCCCCGCGACCCCCCTTCCTAGCATGCGAATATGGTCCTGACCCGACCTCAGCTGGACGGGATGTGGGAACAGTTCATCCAACGGATGGCAACGATCGCGAGATTCGCATGGCATGCGATGGCGTGGGGTAGTTTGGGCGACGGCAAGTGGTGATGTTCTGCAAATGGATTGCCAGTGCGAGCCGAGTATGGCATGCTGTGCGACTTCTCGGCTGTCGCAGACATGATCCTGCGAACTAGCCGCATCGCATTTCACGACGCCAGCCAGGGAGTTGTTTCGTCGGTGCGATTCGGCATGCTTTGTTCCATGTATGCAGGCACATCAAGGGCCAATGAGCCTGCTGCTGGGGGGAACGATGAAATGTTCGTGATGGCGCGAAACTCCATTCCACAAGACTCCTTTGTGGAAGGGGGGTGCCGTTCCGGTGCGTGGCAAAATCGTTTTTAGCTGTGGGAAAAGTGGTTGACAGCAACAAGGATGGCAAGGACCCTTTCCTCGGAGGGTTGGTTTTTGGCGGGGTTATAAAAGGTTCTGGTTGTTGTGAATGCAGAAAGCAGGAAATCAGTGCGGTGAAGGACAATCTTGGGGATGGACGCCTTCTAAAGGCATCCCCAGCCCCTGTGTATCACTGCCTCCTAGTGTACAGCCATAACAACAATGCACTCACGTCAATTTTGTGTACTCTAAATCATATCAATTGTACAGGGCAATGGCCAGATACAGTAGTAGAGCTCATTTGATACACTTGTGCAGTTGGCGGATGGACAAAGTTTGATCGTTTCAAGCAGTCACTTACGCATCGGATTCAGCATCGCCACCACCCAGACCCAGCATGGCTCATTCACCCGTATCATACTGTAACGTGAAATAGTGGACAACCCCTTTTTGTCAGCAGATGTACCGGTAAGTGTTGGAATGTCTTGGTGTGGTTTTGTTTGCATGCGTGCATGTGTGTGTGTGGTGTTGAGAATATGTTTGTGCGCTTTTATTATAAGTGCACTATTCGAAGTGTGCTTACAGGGGCTCGCCATAGCGAGGGATTTGAACCTGGTGGCGAGTCAACGGGGCGCAACCGAGCACAGCGGTTGCGACCCGCGTGGCAGTTCAAAAGTCGAATTGAGCAGTGGGGCAGCATCTACAGTACGCGAAACTGACCTTCAAGGCGCGTCAGGATACCGCGCCCTTGCCGAAGCTGAACAGTCTCGCCATCACGACTGTAACAGGGCAACCCAAGCGACGTGGCGCGACTCTTATACAGTTGCGCCTTGGTAACTACCTACCGTAAACGCCCGGATATAAGACAGTGTTGAATAGTAGACAGGGGTTGTCTACTATACGGGTGTCTCTTATAAACAGGTTTGCCTCATTATAAGACACCTATTTGTGTGTACGAGATAAGACATATATGTCTTATAATCGAAACTTCAATATATTATAGCGAAAGTTGAAATAACGCGTACATTTTTACCCTTGCGAAGCGCGAATTCTTCCACGCGCTGACCCAGGACCTACCAAATTTGCCTCTGCAGGTGTTCTCCATGACGTGGCGTCCCGGGCAGTGGTTGCCGAAGTGGCACCTTCGCAACATCCACACTCATTATGAGGAACTCTTTTTCAAGAAGTACGGAAAATATTTCTAAGTAGTTTAAAAAGTTTCCATTTATAAGGGTACATTCCTGTGTGGACACAAATGTCTCAATCCCGTCACAAAACCTATGTATCGTTCTGCACCGCATTAAACCTAAGAGACAAACATTTGCACCGCACTGTATCTCTTCGTTTGAGACACGATGCTTTTGTGACGCGCTTCAGGAATGTACCCTAAGACTTACAAGACACCCTAAACCATCCCGTTTACAAGATAACTCAAGCATTTTTGCCCGTGTACGAGATAAGACATATATGTCTTATATCCGGGCGATGACGGTACCTTGTGTGTTTCCTATATAACTCAATGTATTGCATGTCTCTTATTACACAATTCCCAAGCTTGTGTCCGGCCTACCCTCGGCCGCTGCTCTGGCACCAAGTTACAAGCTAGGAGAGCTACCTCTGAGTGACCATTGCCCCGCTAGGGGGGGTGGATGGGAGGGGGTGTGTGTTACCTACATGAAGGCATTGAGTCTATCGGCAAGTGTGTGAAAACCAACAGACATTCCATAGTGAATTTGAGTACCACCGTAATTGCCAAGAGGACGTTTTCCCAAGGCTGCAACACACTGCAGAGTCCGGCTCCAAGCAACACTCCATCTCAGTTAGTACACACTAGGGAAGGGTCGACCGATGTACACAAAATGTTTGCGCCCAGAGCGTGTGCCGAGACAAGATGAATGCAGGAGAATGTGATGTGAGCGAGGAGAGAGACTCTGGGACGTGAGAGAGGAGAAGCGCATGACAGTTGCGAAGGATGTGACAGGTGAGGGGATTCTGAGAGGCGAGGAGGGAGAGGCCTTGGGGGCATCGTTGGGAGCATGGATGTGAGTGTGAGTGTGGAGGTGAGAGCGCGAGTCGTGGAGAGTGTAAGTAGGAGGTGCGGACAAGGGAGCAGAGTGGTGGAGGGAGTGCGAGGTGCACTGAGAGACTAGGCAAGGCACAGAGTGTGGGATTGGCGCGGAGAGCGTGAGAGAGGCATGCCACGGTCAATGGTTAGCCTTTGTGCAGACTGGGTGTTTACTGTAAGGTGTGAGTTGAGTGCTTCGCAAATGGATACTCAATGCTTTCTTCACCAACCTGTACGTCAGGCAGCAGCCCATGCATGCCCGTTTCCATTCAGTGAGTGTATCCGGCACTTGAAATGAACTATCGCGTGCCAAGGTCACTGCTGTATATTTCAATCATAACAAAATGGCAGCCAGATCAGCTACCTTACGAACCTATATTCATGCTTCCAAAATGGGTCGCCTAACCCGCAAGCCCCACACATCATCATCCCGTCAAGCTGGCAACTTCGTGCCTTTCGGGAACTGTGGCTGGTCGACCCCATGTGCGATGAAGTACGGTCCGACGTACATTTGAGGCTCAACCACAGTGCTCCACGTGGCACGCGCAAAGCCCGCCTGGCCCAGCATGATTGTCGGGCCCTTAGGCGACATTTTAACAAGGCTCAAGCCCTTGAGCTGAGTCGGGAGCAGCTGGCCCTTCTTTATAGCTTGAAGCTGGGTCTGAGTGTATTTGGTTGCGATAATCTGGACGGCGGTGAGGTTGTACGCGGTATCAGTGGAGATCTTCTTGCCCTTGAAACGCTTCGCCAGCGCGTCAGCCGTGGCGTCGCTCATCAGGAGGAGCGTGGCGTTCTTGAGCGCACTGAAATCGTATTTGGAGTTCACTGTAACGGGAATAGAAGGGAACCCGAAGAATGCGTAGAGATGAGAAGGGCGTTAGGACAAATACGTGGTGCTGTCAAAAGCGATGGATTTCCAATGCTGTCACCGCAGCGCAGCACTACGTGTGATGCCGACAAGTAACCTTCCGCTACTTTTGATGAAGTGTTAACTTGACATTCTAACCAGCTAATGTGGTCGATTACCGAATTTCCAAGTTCCTTTGTTCAACGCAAACAATCGATTGGCTTTACCGAAGCGCTCAAGAACCGTTATTCGAGCACCAATTCCGAATGGAAATCACTATTGAGAGTTCTCAAAAGTGATTCGTAATTCTCGATCCTCGACAACTCACATGCGACGTTGATGGCTCTGTTGACTTGCGCCGAGTACTTGGCGTACTTCGGGTACTTCTTCGTGATCGTCGCCGTTAGCTTCTTCAGCTCGGCGCGCAGCTGCGTCTTCGTCGGCGGTGCAGCGCCGTCAACGCTGACGGCCGACAGGCAGACGACAACCGCTAGGACTAGCGTGACGGCCAAAATGACTGACCGAGCCATGGCTGTGCTCCGCCTACGTAAATTCAGAACTATTCCGCGAGATGCGGTGAGACCCTGAGTCTGGGGAAATGTACAGAGCTCGGAATATAGAGCTAACTAGGGAACAACTAGTGGATCTGAATAGGATCGAAGTCAACTCTGGAAGCTGAACTTCAAAAAGAAGATGGTGAGGCTTTCGTGTGAAGGTTGCTGTTTAGAATGCGAAATCTCTGTGGTGATATAGAAACGCACGGCCTGTGGGAGCGGATACACGAGTAACGAGTCACGGCTCGCTATCAGGAGTCCTTCATGGTCCGCCCTAATTTGTCGGCAGTCTTTTCGGAGCGCCGTGCTGTCGACACGGCGAGGAGAAGCGGCGTCCTGTGTGAAGGAGCCTCTGGTAAAGCCGTTTCTTTCCGACCGTCAAATGCGACCTCAGGCGACCAACCTGGCAGTTTCCTTGCCGCAGAATCCCCCAATCCATCCCACCCCAACAACTCCGATCTCCTCCCCATCATAGACCCGAGCTATGCAGGTGTGGTGGTGGGGCAGGCAGTTGGAAATCATAGCTTCGACCTGGAATATTTGGGCTGGCTTGGGCAGGTAAGGAGAAATGCCAGGGCAGCAGTGGCTTGGGCGGTGGGCGCTCTTCGGGCTGAGCAGGACAATGCGCGTTTCGGGATTCCTGGCCCTCGAGATCGGAGGGCTGTGTGCTTGGTTTGATTGGTTCGGCTCTGGGTGGGGGACGACGCGTGACGCATTCAGCGCTTGCCTAGCGTCGTGCAATGGAGAAAGCGACCGACATGAGACCCGCGATTCACTATTGTACAGTACCTGCCACAGCCTACAAATGTCGGTGCCGCGTTTCTGTGTACGCACGAGCAAAAGTGAAAGCCTACAAACCACTGTATTCATTTTGAATTGCAAGTGAGTGCACAAACTGGGCTTACACGCAAATGAAAAAGGGAAATTAACGAAACATGTGAGGCTTTCATTGAGAACAAATGTCACAGGTCTCCAATGCAGAGGCAAAGGTACAAATGGTGGGAGATTGCATAAAACTGATACGGTGTTACGACAAATGTATTATGACTGTAAATGTTCAGATTGGGATTGTAAAGCTGTCACCAACTATCTGCGTGTGTGTAGTTATTGTAGCTGTCACGTGTGCCATACAGATATTTGTTTAATTCTAAAGGCAGTACGAAAAGAGCAAGTGGAAGGCCGGGAGGTCGGGGTTGGAGAGGCAGGGGTGGGAGGAGGGGGTGGGGGTGGGTTGGTAGGAGGGGACACGTGCTGGATGGGGACTTGCTGGGTTCTATTTGAGCCAATCTACAGGCCAGAGCATGGCTGGGTTGCTGGCTGAGTTCTTGAAGTGCCATAAGCGGCAAAGAACCATTTCGACGATGTTGTCTGCTGAGGTTATAGGAGAGAAGACTGTCAGCAACAGTCTTACCCACAGTAAAACAAACCTGTCAGGTCTTGATATTCCCTTCCTCCGATGCGACCAAGGAATGCTAGTTTTGACTACTTTCAATGGGAGTGTTTTTCTTCATCACACAAAATACCACAACTCCAGGTAGTGGTGGACTCCTTAGGAGAATCGAGCTAGTTGGATGCCAAGAAAGGGCTGCATGTGACTCCATTTGCTCACTTCAGCGCAACATTGACTGTGGCGGGGGAGGCAAGCCTCTTGCTTGAAGTATCCGCATGTTCTCTTCATAGCCTGGAAAGGAGCCCAAAAGACTTTCGTGAATGCGCAAAAAAGAATGTAGTTCCGGAAGATACCACAGAATCCATAAAGGCTTCTTGTCAAAGACAGGAGCAAGCACAGCGGCCAGGTGTGAAAAGCTTACCTCGTTTTGGATCCCATCCTCGATTCTTAAGCTCTCTAATCTCTTGAGCGATAGAACAGCACAAACAAGCGCAATGCATTAAGCAGTCACCACAGGGCCGTGGAGGTAAAACGTATTTTTGTCGTAGCTTGTTCCGAACTCCTGTCAGTTGAAAGGATTTATCGAGTCAGCGATACGAAATGCGGTGCAAGGAGGATAGGATGGACGAAACACGAGAATCTTCGTTATACTACTGGCTCGCTCACCAAAAGAACGAGGGCAGAACGTCTTACCTTGAGAATAAAGGCATCCAAGCATTACTAATTGGAAGAGGAAGAATAGACAGCAAGATGTCGTCGCATCTGTTCAAGGTTGAGCCAATAAGAGAACGGAATGCATCATGGGTTTATCCACATAACGAAAGACGCCATTCGGGAACAATACGAGAAAAGGCAATGCGGTACTGCGATAGTGGGAGTTCAAAAGAGTAGCTAACCTGATTCGCCGTCGGTGACGATTTCTGTTGTTCGCCCCACGAGGACGCACGGACAAAAAAGCGCACAGCACGCTGGCCACACGATAAAAAACAACCGCACGGAGAAATTTAACCGTCAGATACATGAACGTAAGAGCTGCTGAACAAGATATCTAGAAGTAAAACATGCTTAACGAAAGTACGACACTGTGATCAGGAGTTACGTTGGAGAACAGCGCCGACGACAAAATAACTGTATTTCAGTGTCCATTGACCTACTGGTTCCACAGTCTTCGTGGCAATCCGTGCATGACGTCGTCCAGTCACCTATAGGAACACCGTAACCCATTCTGCGGTCAACTAACGCGAATCTGCTTCACTTAGATAGTGCAATAGTTTCTATGCAGAACAGCAGCTGCAGATTCTCGAAACAGGTCCTCCACAAGCTGCTACAGCCTAATGTCGTTCCAGTTGTATACATATATCGTACTAGTACAGCCTAACGTTTCAGACGCCTAATCTATTAGTCAAGTTGTTGTTCCTAAACCAGATGATGGATTCGCCTCGAAGATGTAAGCGGAGAGACGGCACGAGACGATAGGCAGCAAAACGCGCTTGTCTCCCTGCTTCAGTCAGTCAGCTATGCCTGTCCGCGAGTCTGGTGCCTCCTCGCCGACAAGGGCAAATGACAGGCAACGTAATTCCCCGTGATGCATTCTCGGAGGGACCAGTGGATTGTCAGACTCGGAGACCGCCAGAGCAGAGTTGTGACCAAACAGACCGATTGGTGTAGGCTCGATGAAATGGCTCGATGAGTTGAACGAAAACTTGAAGGAACTGGATTGGTTAGCGATACCTCGATCTCGGCTACTGATGGAGCTATGGAGTTGCGCTGGCTGCTTCGGGATACAGTACTACAGTAGTCATGCCAGCTGACAACGGCGAGGAGGGAGAGAGGTATGGCGTAGGTGTGGAAGGGATAGGCGAATCTGAGCGGGGGAGAATTCAATTGCTGCTGGTCTGACTGACTGCCTGCCAAACAGGCGCTGCGGCGGGACAAAGCGAACCCCAACTGTAACCCAGACCCCAACTTCCTCAGTTCCACAATGTTACAATGTCGCAGATAGATTTGAGGAGACCAACATCAATCACGTTTTCATTCCCATAAAGGTTCCAAGGAACAAAATGATATCATTGATCCATTCAAAATTGCAAGATGCTACCACACAACATGCCCTACTAACAGGACATGCCTTCAGCTTACGATGATAGAAGCCTGCTCCCTGAAACAAAGATGGAAAGCAACATGAGACGCCTGGAACTCACAACACAAGCATTTTGAACATAAACAATGCAGCACTACAACCTCACCTTAGATCTTGTTGAAGGCCACAATGTCGCAGCTCTGAATGTACTCAGCGGCCTCGCCCTGGGTGAGGTGGTCCTCAATGAGCTCATCCAGCGACACAAGGTCATCCACGATGGTCATCATGATCGTCATCTTCTTGATGCCGTACCCGACAGGCACCAGCTTGGCTGAGCACCATAGCAGGCAAGGAACAGAGCAGACAGATAATGCTAGCGTGATGCATATGAGCTGCGACCCAGGTCAAAGCGCTCTCAAAGCACATGCTGAATAGGACCTCATTGGGACAAACCCATACTGCCAAACCTCACACTTGTCCTGAGCCTTCAAACCCCCAAAAGTTTTTTTGTGTATGTAAAAAGGTGAAAAAACAGAGAAGAAACGGAGAGGCTACTCACAGGCGCCCCAGAGCAGGCCGTCCATCTCCACCTTGCGCACGGCCGCCTCAAGCTTGGCCATGTCCGTCTCGTCGTCCCACGGCTTCACGTCCAGCAGCACCGACGACTTGCCACCTGCCACACACGCAACGCGCACACCACACCATTTTCAGTCATACGCGGCTTCCGCACATCGTGAAATCCCGAACAACACAGCTGTAGGCGGAAAACTCCGTAGGGATTACAGATCGAAGTGTTCAGGCATAGGGTCAGGTCAGTCGGATACTCACTCTCCTTCTTCTTGCCCGACGCGGCTGCCTTGGCCTCCCGCTCGGCAGCGGCGGCCTTCTCCTCCTCCGTGGCCTCGCCGAACAGATCCAGATCGTCGTCGTCGTCCTCGTCCTGCGATGACACGGCCACACGCATGAGCAAGCGGGTGTTTGGGAGGTGGGGGAGGGTTTACTGATCCAGATCGTAGTCGTCGTCGTCGTCTTGCGAGCGCACGGCCGCACGCATGAGCGCAGGGTGTTGGGGAAGCGGGAAAGGGTTTACATATCCAGATCGGGTCGCGGAAAAAGGGTTTCAAAAAACGGGATGGCCCCCACGACGACCAGACGCGTGGTGGGACTGGGGGATCCGACTTTCCGATGCGACGATATCACGTTGTGACAGTGCATTGAGATTGTCTGGTGTGGAAACTGCCAGCTCCAAGCCGGGAATTGGGCTAGAAGCGACGGCTGCAGCACGCCAATCGACAACACACTGCATGGTGCATGCGGCATGCTGTTACTCGATCTGCGGTCCCCTTTACAACACATGCACTCAACACTCTCGCGCACGGTCAAGAATAAGGACAGCGTTAAAATATCAAATGCCACTCCACGGCCAAACACTGATATTTAAATTAGACATGTCACTCAGATCCGCGGCATGAATCAGCCGCGCAACTCAGCTCATCAGCGTACCTCAGCGGGCTTGGCCTCGGCAGCGGGGGGAGTGGCGACAGCTGCGGTGGGAGCAGCGGCGGCAGGAGCAGCACCGCCGATCACCACACCCACGCCGGGGCCGGCGAAGCTGGGAACAGAAGGATCGAAAGTACATAGCGGGCAGATGGAAAGATCGGACGCGGGAAGAAATGGCATCGAATGACTCGACGAATGATAAGAATATTAAGGAGCCGCTCGGAAATAAAACATTTACGACGTCGTGTCGCCGCGGACGAAGGCTGTAAACCTAATGGTCACAGATCGGCGACAGAAATACGACAAACATCGATCAGACATGCCCCAACTCAGGTGAGGTGAAGACATAACCGGCTTTCCAGATCAGTATTTCACTATTAGAAAAACTCCGCGATAAGAAAGTAAAGAATGACTCACTTTGCACCGAGCAGCGCCTTAATGTGGGTGTACCACCGCGAAGCGTTGGTGTAGCCCTTGGGGAACGACTTAAGCGCGCTGTAGACCGTGAGGTCATCGCGGGACGCCTGGAAGCTGCGAGGCAAGAAGAGATCAGAAAAGAAAAGGCGGAGCACGCATGTGCACAATTGGGGAAAGGAGCAGAGAGAAGAAAATAGCAGGGAAGAGGGGAGAGCTGGATGCAATGAAAAGAGGCGTGTAGTGATATGGGGCGGGAAAAGCGGGGACGCAACTAGATCCAGGGTCTTAACGAGGCAAACCCTAAACCCCCTAAGGGAATCCTTACCCCGAGATGTAGCTGCGGGTGAGGAGGTACTCGTCGAGCTGCTTCAGACCCTCAGGTGTCGACAGGTCACCGAAAGAGATCGCCATTGTGGGTGAGGTATGTGACTGATACAAGTGAGACAAGACGAGATACAGCTGAGCTGTGAAGGGGAGTCGGACACCAAAAGTAGGAAGCAATCGATAATGGGGGAGGTGACGACATCTGTTTTATTGGACAAAATGTACGCAATTCTCCACGTAGAACGGGGATGTAGCTCAGATAGTAGAGCGCTCGCTTAGCATGCGAGAGGTATGGGGATCGATACCCCGCATCTCCAGAATTATCTTGATTGCGCTGCTTGTTATGTTAAAGCCCGTCTCCCAAATTGCGGACCGCGCGCCGGAGTTCTTAAAGCAGCGGTATACATTTGGCAGTGGGAAGGCCAAAACTTTATAAAAGGTACAAGGTGGTAACCAAATTACAGGGTCTCTCGACTTCGGACACAGCGACAAGTTCAACACCATCCCCTCTCACCTGACTCACTCGTCAAAAGTTTATGGCTAGCCAAAAGTATTCTGAAGGACATGCCTCCTCACCACTATCCCCACCCCCAGAGCGCTCTAAGTCATCACTAAATAGGTAAATTCCAAAAACACTGCAATCCAATGTCATTATAGCGCGCCTCACGCGTAGGTCAAACACCTACAGAGCCATTGATTATTTTCCGGCGCCAAATACACGGAGCTTAGGGTTCGCCATAGCCCTTATCTGCGGCGCGATTCCCCTTGTGCGACGCCCGATTCCCCATTCGCGTCGCCTGATGCAACTCCCTCCCGCCCGGTTTCCCATTTCCACCGCCACGAAACCCCAGTCACGCTGTCCGGCGATTCCCCTTCCCTCCGCTCGACTCCCTGCTCCCACCACTTCTTCCTTCCGGCGGGTTCCCTTTCCCGTCGCCCTACTCCCCTTCGCATCGCCCGAACCACATTCCCGCCGCCCGGTTCCCCTATCCAGCCTCCGAAATCCCCTTCCACGCCACCTGAATCCCCTTTCCCGCCCATGGATTCCGGGCGGGCCGCCCGACCGCCCCTTCCCGCCGCTCGATTCCCCTTGCGCTCCGCCAAATTCCAATTCCCGCCGCCTTAATCCCGCTCCCGCCGCCCGATTCCCCTTTCGCGCCGCCCGCTTCTCCTTTCGCGCCGCCAAATTCCAGTTCCCGCCGTCCGATTCCCGTTCCCGCGGCCCGCTTCCCCTTTCCCGCCGCCCGCTGCGCTTCCCGCCGCCCGATTCCCATTTTCCGCCGCCAGACATGTCGTCCCGCCTCCCTGATCCCTTTTCCGGGCGGCCGACTATTCGTCCCTCCCGTCCCTCCCGTACCTCCCTTCCCTCCCGTCCCTCCCGTCCCTCCCTTCCCTCCCTTCTCTCCCTTCCCTCCCGTCCCTCCCTTCTCTCCCTTCCCTCCCGTCCCTCCCTTCTCTCCCTTCCCTCCCGTCCCTCCCTTCCCTCCCTTCCCTCCCGTCCCTCCCTTCCCTCCCTTCCCTCCCGTCCCTCCCGTCCCTCCCTTCCCTCCCGTCTCTCCCTTCCCTCCCTTCTCTCCCTTCCCTCCCTTCTCTCCCTTCCCTCCCTTCTCTCCCTTCCCTCCCGTCCCTCCCTTCTCTCCCTTCCCTCCCGTCCCTCCCTTCCCTCCCTTCTCTCCCTTCCCTCCCGTCCCTCCCTTCCCTCCCTTCTCTCCCTTCCCTCCCGTCCCTCCCTTCTCTCCCTTCCCTCCCGTCCCTCCCTTCCCTCCCTTCTCTCCCTTCCCTCCCTTCCCTCCCGTCTCTCCCTTCCCTCCCGTCCCTCCCTTCCTCCCTCCCTCCCTCCCTTCCTTCCCTCTCCCCCTTCCCTCCCTCCCTCCCTTCTCTCCCTTCCCTCCCGCCCTCCCTTCCCTCCCTTCCCTCCCGTCCCTCCCTTCTCTCCCTTTCCTCCCTTCCATCCCGTCCCTCCCTTCTCTCCCTTCCCTCCCGTCCCTCCCTTCCCTCCAAGAATGTTCCTTGCACTCATACCCCCTCCACTGACCTTCCTTGCAACTTGTCTCACCTTGTCCTTCCCCCACCGTGCAGTTTCTTGTCTGTGAAGTAATCGCGACTCCACCGTTGCTTGTGCTGCAGAGGGAGTGCACAGGATGTTCAACCAGTTCGAAGGATTAGACACCCAAACCTATCCACTGCAGTGTGAGTCGGTCGGCTATCTGCACCCACCCTACCCTCCACCGTACCCTAAAACCCTTCTATCTCCTCCCATACCCATACATAGGCCAGCCAAACTCACCCCTCCCCTGCCATACCTTGCCGCTCCTTGCCATACCCTGCCCTACAATTCCCTGTTTAGCAGAACTGTACCATACCATTCCATACTCCAGCCATACCCATCCATCCCGCGCCATACCCATCCATCGCCTGCCATACCCATCCATCCCGCGCCATACCCTGCCATACCCTACCCTTCCTTTTGCGCTCGCAATCCATCGATGGATCAACACATTAGGTCCCCCCCACTTCCCTACCTGTCCTCTCATCCACCCCTGCAGGGATGACTTCCAATCACTGCACACACCGCTGCTTTGTTTTGCCTACTCCCTACACTATGTTCCCCACTCCTTTCTTATGTTCCCCGCCAGAAATCAATGATGTTCTCGCAATGACGTGGGTGTCGACAACGATTGACGCTAGGTTTCAGGATTTGGTTTTGAAGATGAGCAAAAAGAGCAGCGACAGGGTGAAGGGGGATAAAAATCGAGCACGGGCATATGACTAGCAACGTGGTCGGTATGGTGGAACCCAGGGTTGTGTGATTAGGGCTATGTATTTAGTCAATACTGTTGTAAGTACTCCATTTGTACAACGTTGCAAAGTGTTTATGGCTTGAAGGCCTTCAATGTTCAAAAGTCATACACAGTAGGGCTGCCACGCATTTGGGAGTGTCTGCAAGTATAATATACCACAAACCGAACCTGTCAACTATGCTGGGAGCTGCCGCACGTCCAACTTGCTGCAATTGCATGCCTGGCGTGGTGTGCAGCAGAGGAGAGCAATGCAGTGAGGGATGCTTGGTGGACCTGCCAGTGAGGGGAGTGCCATTGCTTGGTCAGAGGCGCTTATCACCTATACCACCACCACCATCCGAAGCAGCCCCATTTCCACCTCCACCTGCCCCCAGGCCAGCAGCAGCAGAAGCGGATGCGGAGTGGACGTGCAACCCTTCCAGTGCTGCCATGTGTGCCGCACAAAAGTCGGCAGGCGAAACCGAGCCAATCATGCCTGCCCTGTGACGGGTCGTGCACGCAAGCTTAGCCGCTAGCAGCTGGGAGGAAGACATGGGGGTGGTTGGGTTGGGAGAATGGAAAGGGGGTAAGTAGGCAGAAACAGTGAGAAAAGAAAAGGGAGGAGGGTCTAGTGAGACTCGGCGGGGTGAGTATGGTATGAGGAAGAATGGGGCGGGGCTGGGGGACCGAGGAGATGAGAAGAGGAGGATGGTTTGCATGGGGGATGGGGGTGAGAGCGGGCCTGAAGGATTGAACCAGCATACCATTGGGCTGGTTGTAAGGAGGGTCGTGAAACGGTCCGAGGAGGATGGGAGAATGAAAAGGGGGACCTTGACATGCAAATGCAGCTCTTGTATGCTTTGATAGAGTAGAACAATCACACGCTGGTCAATGCTACGATTTGCCACTAACCACCCTATGCACTCCACCATGCATGCCATCACCCACACCCCCATGCACATCACCATACGTTCCACCCCGCACACCACCATGCATGCCACCACGCACCCCTTCATGCTCACCACCACGCATGCCTCCACGCACCCCTTCATGCTCACTCCCAAACTCACGGCCAGTAGACGAACCGCCACTGGCCCCCTTCTGATTGCGGTGGGCCCGCCCATAGGATGAGGCGAACATACCGCATGGGAGAGGGTTGGCTAGCGATGGCATGATGACGGGAGAGGGTGGGCTTGCAGGGGGATACTGTGTGCATGATGAGGGGGGAGTGAGGCCTAGCAAGGGGTATACTAATAGCAAGGGCCATGGGGCTAGCACGCGGGAAACATGGCGCTAGCAGCCTCGTGCAAAACATGGGGCTAACACGGGGGTAACATGGGGCCAGAGATGGGGGAAAACGTGGGGCATGCAGCGGGCAACATGGGGCCTGCAGGGGGAATCTTTGGGATAGCGTGGGGGAATCATGGGAGCAAAGCTTGCGGGTAAAGATGAGGGGAGCATGGGATGGAAAACGGGGCGAGCATGTAGGCATGGAAGTGAGGAGTGCAGCGAGCATTCGGGGAGGCTTTTTCTCTCCCTTCCCTCACATGCAGGGGGCATGCACAGCAGGGCACCCAGCAGGCGACTTTTGAGTAAATTGGTGAAGTCACCTGTGCAGCGTGCAATGCACCCACCAGGCGGGGTTGGCAGCAAGGGGCAGATCAGCGAGGAGAGCAGCCCAAATGGCCAACGGGTCTAGAGACACCAGGCGATTGAGCGGCGCCAGTTGGCCATCCAGTCGGATCTTAGCGCTCCACACGCCAAGATGAGCAGCGATGCACCCACCGCCCAGTCTGGGAAGGGAGGGGGACAGAGGGAAACGTAGATGTGACGAGGAAAGGCAAGTAGGATTGTGCGGGCTGATAGGTTCCCATGCTAGTGAGCACTCCACACGCTACTGAGAGCAGCGATGCACTCACCACCCAACCATGGGAGGGAAGGAGAGGGAGGCCCGCGAGGATGTGACCTGCGAATGTGCGTAAGAGTGTGGTGACAGGGTGGTTCCTTTGCTGGCGTGCACTCCACACAATGCTGTTCGCCCGATGCCGTCACCACGGCGCCTTGGAAGGGAAGGGGAGGGAGAGAAAAGAGGATGTGAGTGGCGAAGGCGAGTAAGAGTGTTCTAGAAGGGAGGTCCCTTTGCTGGTGAGCACTCCTCACGTTGCTGTGAGCAGCGATGCACTCACCACCCAGCATTGGAAGGGCAGGGGAGAGTGTGGTCAGGCACGTGGTTCCCTTGCTGGTGAGCACTCCATACGTTGTTGTTCGCTCCGATGCACTCACCTTGACACCTTGGAAGGGAAGGGT